ACCACACACCACTCACCACACTCACCACACCACTCACCACACACACACCACACCACTCACCACACACACACACCACCACTCACCACTCACCACACACACACCACTCACCACACACACCACACCACTCACCACACACCACTCACCACACTCACCACACCACTCACCACACACCACTCACCACACTCACCACACCACTCACCACACACACACCACACCACTCATCACACACACACCACACCACTCACCACTCACCACACACACACCACTCACCACACACACCACACCACTCACCTCACACCATTTAGCACACTCGCCTCACTCCACTCACCACACTCACCACACCACTCACAACACACCACACCACTTACCACACTCACCTCACCCGCTCACCTCACACCACACAAAACCACACTCACCTCACACACATACAAAACCACACTCACCTCACACCACTCACCACACACACACCACACCACTCACCACACTCACCACACCACTCACCACACACCACACCACTCACCACACACACACCACACCACACACCACACCACTCACCACACACACCACTCACCACACACACCACACCACTCACCACACACACACCACACACCACACCACACACCACACCACTCACCACATACACCACACCACTCACCTCACACCACTTAGCACACTCACCTCACACCGCTCAACACACACACACCACACCACTCACCACACTCACCTCACACCACACCACACTCACCTCACACCACTCACCACACTGACAACCACCCCACGCTCGCCATACCACGCCGACCTCCGTCTGTCCAGCAGAGAAGCGAAACGAGCCGTGGCCACAACCTCCATCAATCGCTGCAGCAGCTGCAACAGCAGCAGCAGCATTAGCAACATCAGCAATAGCAAGCAGCAGCAGTAGGAGCAGTAACAGCCGTAGCATCACAAGCAATAGCAACATCAGCAACAGCAGCAGCAACAACGAAAGCCGGGGCAGTAGCGGCAACAGCAACCGGACAGGGACAACAGCAGCATCAGCAAGGGCATCATCATCATCAGCAGCAAGCACGAGTGAGTATTCGTAAGCGCTCACGGGAGTTGAAGACGAGCGGAGCGCAGTGTGCGCGCTCTCTCTCTCTCTCCGCGCTCTCTGCTCTCTCTGCTCTCTCTGCCTCGCCTCCCTCCTCCTCCTCCCGCTTCCCTTCCTCCCTCCCTCTCTTCCCAGTGAGAGTGTGTGTCTGTGTGTGTGGCTGTGTGTGTGTGTCTGTGTGTGTGTGTCTGTGTGTGTGTGGCTGTGTGTGTCTGTGTGTGTGTCTGTGTGTGTGTGGCTGTGTGTGTGTGTCTGTGTGTGTGGCTGTGTGTGTGTGTCTGTGTGTGTGGCTGTGTGTGTGTGTCTGTGTGTGTGGCTGTGTGTGGCTGTGTGTGTCTGTGTGTGTGTGTCTGTGTGTGTGTGGCTGTGTGTGTCTGTGTGTGTGTCTGTGTGTGTGTGGCTGTGTGTGTCTGTGTGTGTCTGTGTGTGTGACTGTGTGTGTGTGTCTGTGTGTGTGTGTCTGTGTGTGTGTGGCTGTGTGTGTGTGGCTGTGTGTGTCTGTGTGTGTGGCTGTGTGGTTGTGTGCGTCTGTGTGTGTCTGTGTGGCTGTGTGTGTCTGTGTGGCTGTGTGCGACTGTGTGTGGCTGTGTGTCTGTGTGTGTCTGTGTGTGGCTGTGTGCGTCTGTGTGCGTCTGTGTGTGTAGTTGTGTGCGTCTGTGTGCGTCTGTGTGTGTCTGTGTGCGTCTGTGTGTGACTGTGTGTGACTGTGTGTGGCTGTGTGTGTCTATGTGCGGTTGTCTGTCTGTGTGTGACTGTGTGTCTGTGTGCGACTGTGTGCGTCTGTGTGTGGCTGTGTGTCTGTGTATGTGGCTGTGTGTGGCTGTGTGTGTCTGTGTGTGGCTGTGTGTGTCTTTGTGTGGCTGTGTGTGTTTGTGTGTGGCTGTGTGTGCTTGTGGGGAGCGGTGGTGCAGCGGTTAGCGCGCTGCGCTATGAACCCGGCGACCCGGGTTCGATTCCCACTCACGGACAACACCCAGTGACGATTATCTGAGCCGGTCCTGGGCCTCCCCTAGGTCGACTCAGCCTCAAAATTAGTATCTGGTACGATGTGTAAACATCGCCACTAGGGAGACAAAGGCGGTCAGGCATGGTGCTGGCCACCCGCCCCCTCGTGTGCTGTGCCGGTCTTCATAGGGGCTCGCTAACAGAACTTGACCCAAACAGTCTGCTTAGGCTATACGGGGGATCTTTGTCTCTACACGGGGTTTTTCCTACGAGGAGCGAAAGGCGAGCACCGTGGAGATGGAACGGTTTCACAAAAACGAACGGAGCGGGAACAAACACTCAACACAATCGCCAATACCCCTCTGGCATTAAAGCCGCATGTAGAGAGGCCAGAAAGAGCTGATGAGAGTTTGATTTGCATTTTACCACCATGGGACTGTAAAGTGCCCTCTCCAACTGCCCCCCTCCCCGACTGCCCCCCGCCCCCTCTCCAACTGCCACCCCGCCCTCTCTCCAACTGCCCCCCGCCCCCTCTCAAACTGCCCCCCGCCCCCTCTCCAACTGCCCCCCGCCCCCTCCCCGACTGCCCCCCGCCCCCTCTCCAACTGCCCCCCGCCCCCTCCCCGACTGCCCCCCGCCCCCTCTCAAACTGCCCCCCGCCCCCTCTCCAACTGCCCCCCGCCCCCTCTCACCCTCTCCAACTGCCACCCCGCCCCCTCTCCAACTGCCCCCTCTCACCCTCTCCAACTGCCCCCCCCGCACCCTCTCCAACTGCCCCCTCTCCAACTGCCCCCCGCCCCATCTCACCCTCTCCAACTGCCACCCCGCCGCCTCTCCAACTGCCCCCTCTCCAACTGCCACCCCGCCCTCTCTCCAAATGCTCCCCCCGCCCTCTCTCCAACTGCCCCCTGCCCCTTCTCCAACTGATCACACAGGGATGGGTGACGTGACCCAGCGGTAGCGCGTTCGCTGCCGGTTGCTTCAGAGGTTCACGGCTCGAATCCAGCGGCCGCCCTGGTTATTACCGCGGTGGTGTGGTAACCATCGCCGTACTACGCGCCGCCTGTTTCACAGTGGACGAGAAAGATCGCCGACGTCATTCGCAAGAGCTGCCCATTGCGTGCCAGCGTCAGGGTTCCACATTTGACCAATTTTTTTAAAACGTATTAGACCCGCGAATCGCTCGATCGGGATTACACACCACAGCAGCAGCAGCCCCCTACTGGGAGCAGAATGAGGCCCCACATCTGTGGCAGCCTCTTGAGTCACCTTGCAATGTCGCTGTCCTCAATACTTGCGCCAATTCACTGCAGGATACAAGGGCGTCTTTGTTTACGAAGAAGTGTGCAGCGTGGTGGTACAACCGCCTGGGGTGTCACTCACCACTCGCTCGCGTTAGTCGTGCCGCGAATCCAACTCGGGGCGCCACATTCATCAAAATCAAAACAAACTTTATTGTATTGCACAATTCGTGCAAATAATGGAATACAGAATGATTTACAGGCCACAATAAAAGTGACTGACACAATATAAACAACAACAATAATGATAAAAAAAATGCCTAACATTATAATACACAAAAAATATAATAAAAAGCATAATAAACACACAATAATAGCATCCTAAATAAAAGCCCTTCTAAAAAGGGTGCGTTTTAAGATTTAGTTTAAAAACATTTGATGATTCTGATGCCCTCAGATCATCAGGCAGGCCGTCACCAAGGCGAGGTTCACACAATCTGAAGGCGCCCTCCCCATCAGCCTCCGTCCTGGACCTTGACACCTTCCAAGAGACCAGTGCCAGAGGACATAGCGCAGTGCGTTAACTACTGCGCCACCGCTCCTCTTGCCCCCCACCACCACCATCACCGACCGTACTTCGTGAATAGATGTATTTATAAAGAGTGCTCACAAATAGCCACGTGCTCGCTCTCCTGGTCTGCCAGTTCAATTCGCTACCGCAGTGAGATCAGGTCCCTCCCGAGTCACTCAATGATAACACAGCCATCGGGGGACCTCTGTGGTCTCGTTGGTTAAACCCGAAATTAGTCCGGAGGGACCGGTGGATAATTACGGGGTGAGGGAAGTGGGTGGCATTTGTGATGGAGGAGTTCCCAAACTGACCATCGGAGTAACAAAATTAAATTTATACTCTCTGGTTCTTTCGGTAAAGTCACGGAGGTAGAAACAAATAATAGATCACGATCTTCTTGGTTCTTTCGGTAAAGTCACGTAGAAGGGAATTAATAAAAGAACAAAAATAAAACGTAATAAAATAATTCTGAATGACGCTGTCTTTCCGACAGACCTGTTCTTCACCTGAGGACGGCTGCTTGCGTTGTGGCCGAAACATCGTGATAATTATTTTATTGGTTTATTTTTTATTATTTCCCTTCTACGTGACTTTACCGAAAGAACCAAGAAGATGAATCCCTGCAGTCACGAAAGCTTTAAATCGAAAAATAGATCACGACGTTTCGATCGCCACACAAGCAATCGTGCTCAGGTGGGAGAGAGAAGATTCCTGCAGTCACGTAAGCTTCAAATCAAGATTCAAATTCTATTTTTTTTTGTACACATCCCATCAGCCACACAGCGACACGACGAAGGGTGGCGACGGCGTAGGGGAAGCCTTCATCCAACAGGGGATCGATCATGGCTGACTAGAGTGATGTGCGTTGTGTGTAGACGTGACGTGAAGCGATGGGAGCATTTAACCTGGCAGTGGTTACGAGACAAAGGGGTGTCAACATGGAGCCGGCGACCTCTTGACCTTGACCGAATTTCCCCGCGCCAGACATTGCAGCCATCGGATTGCGCGTGTGGGCCCACCTCCCGCATGTATGTTTGGTGCACTTCTTTCGCACCGTACGTAGCCAACCGTGCTAATACGGAAACCCCTCGCGAAGAAAGAACGAGGGCAGGTCTTGCGGAAAGTCTTGAGCTCTCTGGACCGGCCCGACCGGTCAGCGCGCGTTATTTCCGACTCAGTTCCGCGTTCTCCGCCTTCCGAGTCGTCCTGAAGCCACAGAATCCAGGGACGCGTCCGTGTGCAGTGCTGCGTTGCTGCTGCTGCTCCTGCTGCTGCTGCAGCAGCTGCTGCTGCTGCTGGTTTGTCGGTGGTGGTTAGTGGAGTCTTCCAGGATGGCTCAGTCAAGCTTTGCTCTAATGCTGAATTTGGATCAACTGGAGGCGAGGCTGCGAACTCTCAAGTGAGTATCTCGGTGCGTGCACGGGACACGGTTCGACTGCCTGTGTGGGTGTTGAGCGAGGGTGGTGATTGATGCTGAGAATAACGACGTTGATGGATAGTGATGGGAGGGAATACGAGATAGAGGATAATGGCGATGATGACAGTAATCGTTGTGGATGTATGTTGGACTTGAAGTTCTTTCGCACCGTACGTAGCCAACCCTGCCAATGTAGGACCGCAGAGCTCGGGAGATTGTTGGTCACGCCGGCTCTGGCTGCCTTCCCGCTCGCCTGCGGCTTCCCACGCCTCTGAATCTCTCCGTGCTCTGTCTGCGAGAGAGTGGACGAGCACTGCTTGCGTGGTAAATTGAGATTGTTATCATGATATTTATTTACCTCTGTATATGTTGAGTTGAGTGGATAGTGCTTGGATCGGTCACCATGAAGCGTAACATAAGTTGGCAATGTTGTCTGTACTGTATGTTAAACATGTTTCGCAGCGTACGTAGCCAACCTTGCCAATCGGAGGTGCGGGGGAAGGACAACAAACTAAACACAAGAATGCGTTCTAAGGAAATTAGTGTTCGATCTCGATTTAAATTACGATGATGATGATGACGATCGTCATGATCGTGAAATAGGACTGACGCGCGTTTCTCTGCACGTCCATGAAGATGTTAAATTGATCCTGAAACGTTTGACTGACGAGAGAGATGATCATGATTGCGACAAGATGCTGCCATGCACGGCTATTAAAGACGATGGTTTTAACGTACAGGGGATTAAATGTGTTGCTATAAACGGTATATAATATATATGATTGACGATGACAATCCAAATGATTATAATCATGAAAGTGTGCTAAAATATGGTTGTTATTGAGAGGATTCTGACATGGGACCAATGTTCTAACGATAAAAGCAAAGCAGGTTGGAGCGTGTATTGTGATTGGGTGGGTGACCATGTATACACACCAACACACGTTAATAGCACTGTGTGGCTTGCATAGGAAATGTAATAGGTGACGTTTCGGGCAATGACCCTTCCTTGCACAGAGAGGCCAGAGAGATCGAGTGGATAATAAGAGTTGGAGGCTCTACTTGAAGACTACGGGACCTTTCATGAGAATTCTCTTTATGAAATGTTTTAAATACGTAAATTAATATTTAGCTAACAGTAGACATTAATTAATAGACACACCCTTGAATATTGTAATGGAAAAATGCATTGCTTCTTAAATAAGCAAATTTTCATTAAACGTAAAGTTATGAAGTGATTCTGGCACATTGCATTATGGGTAGACCTGCATTCTCGAGCCTCAATTATCAATACCTGTCAACCCTTTATCAGTGCCCTACCTTATTACAGACCAATTCAGACCTTATTGGTCACCCCGTGCCCTCATAAATCTCAACGTTCATCCTACAAAATCCCATCACAAGGGAGAAACACAAACAAATAAAACAAATTGCCCTATTGAAACGGCTTTAAGCCGTGTGGACCTGAAAACTGAATTTTTCTCTTCTTGGTTCTTTCGGTAAAGTCACGTAGAAGGGAAGTAATAAAATAATAAAAATAAAACATAATAAAATAATTCTCACGACGTTTCGGCCACAACACAAGCAGCCGGCTGCTGTTTTATTTTTATTATTTTATTACTTCCCTTCTACGTGACTTTACCGAAAGAACCAAGAAGATGAATCCCTGCAGTCACGAAAGCTTTAAATCGAAATTGAATTTTTCTCAACAAGAATACGGGTAAACCGTATGGGTTGACATCTATGATAATCGTTTCAGTCGGATAATTAATTTGCGTGTCTCTTTAGCCTTTCTTTTCCAAGGTTGCTGATCAATCAGATGTGCTACGTAAACAGATTTGTGTTCTGAGCGGTAGCGCAGCCGGGTGAGCCCAGAGCAGACGAGTGCGAAAGGTGAGACGCTCCGCTAATTCGTGAGACCCTCGAGAGAGAGAGAGAGCAGCGAGATATCTTCATTTTCTGAATCCTCCTCCGAATCAAATGCCATTTGCGCTATCGCCATCGCGTCGAGAGACAATGGAAAGTCTTTAAATCACATCGTTAGCACGGATGCCGATCCCGTTCAGACGGTTTCTCGACTGATTTTACAACCAAGAGATCCGTGACTGATGCGTGAGCTCAGCAGCAGCGAGAGCGACACAAGCGTCGACAATTGTAGGGGGGCCTTCAGGGCATGTTGCACAAATAACAAACGAGGTATTTGAACGGTCGTAAACGACACACTCGTGAGTCGAAAACAAAAGTGCGAAATATAATGGCAGGAAGAGGCGACAGAGAGCTGGAATATGACAACATCCTTCCTGAGGTCGCTCCCCTTCAATGTTCAATCCTCTCCCCGCAGTTCCAGCCCCAAATCTAAACCTCGGCCACTCTCAGTCCTTTTAAAAGCGCCCCCAGGCAATGTAAACCGTGACTCCCGGGCCTCCGGTAACGCGAACTCTCTCACACCAGGCGCGTGTCCCAGCCACCCTTGGTCTATCATCACAACTCTGTGCGCTATGCTGCTTATTGTTATGAGGAAGCCACTGGAGCTAAGCACTTTTAGGCCCAGATTGAAAACGCATTTCTTTAAAACTGCGTTTTGTGTTTAGTTTGTCGTCCCCTCCCCTCCCTCCGACGCGCACGGTGTATACGTCGAAAGGTATGTTGAAGGAAGTTCAACACACATACATTTCCATCCGCAATAAAAGTCAACACACACTACCGGTAAACAAGGGGGAGGGGGGGGGGGCAAGTGCTGCACCGTGCGCGCGACGATTCTCTCATTCGGCGTGCGTGTAGGCCACGATTCTGCGAGATCCTCCGAGCAGTCGGGGGGTCCATCTCGAGCTCTGACATTTCTCACGACCACCCCACACGCGCTATCGCGGACACACGCATGCAAGGATACGCGCGGAAGAGGCACACACTATCCCAAGCACACACATAAGCAACAACCGCCGTTCGCCATGAAGTGGCGGTGATGTCACAACGGCATTTGCGCCATGCGAGGTGCGCCCTGAGGCCACGTGAACTGTCGAAGACTCGTTCGCAGGAGGTCACAACCGGCCCCAGGTGCCATTGGCTGACTGAAATGACAGGCAGATGCACCACCTGTGCTCCCCACTGCCCAGCATCGCTGCCTTCTATCGGCCTGGCGCTACGCTCGTTGTTGTTGGGGGGCGACTGCCTCCAACTTCCCAGCAGCGTCCTTTACAAATCTCCTCCAGAGGGTTATCTTGACACCGCTGGTACCAGTCATTGGCAAGTCAACTCAGCTCCACGTTCTTCTGTACCACATCTTTCCATCTCTTCTCCAGCTCGTGCCGCTCCTGTTTAGCCCCCTCTATCCGGGCATACAGAAAGCTGCTCGAGGTATGATGGGCTTCATGTCCCAACCAACGCAACCACACCTACCGGTCGAACTCACTGATGGGAATGTGTCCAGAACTTTCAAGAATCTGCGAGCTCCTCACACAAGATAGTCTTGAAGAACCCAAGATGGATAGTAGGCAGGGCAGCCTTAATGTTTCAAATCGTGGCAGATGATCCTTTAAGGGGCTTCACGTGTCGCAATACATGGAGAAGAGAGGGCGTAACTGTGACCGACATTACTCCGATCTTCGTATATCGCAATAGGCCAGTTAGCTTCCGTACAGCGTAAAGCAGCCGATGAAAGATAATGCCGCTTGACTGAATCTGAGATTGCTGCCAAACTGGATCTGGTAATAATCACAGTCAGCCAACCCAAAAACATGCTCAATCACACACAAATATGCACAGTAACACATAGACAAAAAACATCTCTCACATCGCCTTTTAACAGACTGTTAGCGAGCACCTATTAAAACCGACATGCCACAAGATACACACAAAAAATCGCTCTCTAACACACTCGCACAAATAAATGCACGCAGAATCACATACGTGACTTTCAAAAAAACATTTACAACACGTGCAATGCACACCTTACGTCAGCCACAGCCTGGGCAATGACGTCACGGTGGCCGTTTTTACATCAGGGATTGTTTTCATGGCAGCTGATTGGCTGGTGCAGCGAGAGTGATGACGTAATTATGAATAATCTCATAAGACCTCCTTTGCCAGTACCAAAATATAATGGGGGTTTTCCCCTTTTTTTGGCAACAAAACTGAAACCTTTTTGCAAGGATTCATGTCTGCATTAACCACAATACTTGCAGTCAAAATGCAAACAAAAAACACACTATGATAATATATGCATTCATCGTCTTGGTTCTTTCGGTAAAGTCACGTAGTAGGGAAATAATAAAATAATAATTATTATGCTGCTAATCCTGCATAATGCACGGGCATAATATGACTTTGAAACCCCCCGCCCACCTCCTACGCATTTCACAAGTAGTGACTAATCCCATATCCGCATTTACCATAAATATGCTAAATTCCTATTGATATGCAAATTATTTTGTCAAGGCGCTCTTTCCCCTCCAACCCAGCTTAAATATATGCTCCAAGCCTGGGGTGTTTCATTCAGACGCTGTCTTCCCGACAAATCTGTTCTTCACCTGAGGACGGCGTTGTGGCCGAAACGTCGTGAGAATTATTTTATTATGTTTTATGTTTATTATTATTTCCCTTCTACGTGACTTTACCGAAAGAACCAAGAAGATGAATCCCTGCAGTCACGAAAGCTTTAAATCGAAATATATGCATTGTCCTTGAAACTGATCGGTCCACACCAAGGGACGGCTTTCTTTTGAGCCTCGACCCAATTGGTGCTCGACCAGAGGACGCCAAAAGGCGACCAGAGGACGCCTTTTCAAGGACAATGCATATATTATCATAGTGTGTTCTTTGTTTGCATTTTGACTGCAAGTATTGTGGTTAATGCAGACATGAATCCTTGTACGAAGTTTTCAATTTTGTTGCCAGAAATAAGGGGAAAACCCCTATTATATGAGTAACCTTTGTATGGCTCGGACGCTCCCAGATACGTACGGTACTCTGCAATTGGCACTACGTGACTTCTGAACATATGGCAAATCGCTTCCTGATTAGGATGTATGCGGGGTTTTTTTATTCTTTAGTACCCAGGCCCCAGATCTCGGTACAAATTAATTTCTGCCACCCGTATACAAGTGCAATTTCCGCGGACTGGGAAAAAATCCGGATAGGTGGCAACCCTACTAATTTTGTCTCAGAAAACCGGGGAGTGCAAGACTGGCACAGTCATAGACAGGCCCGGACTGGCCATCGGGCAGTCCAGGCGGCAAATGCCATTCGGAGTGCGCCGGTGGGCTGGTCTGTTTGTGGAAATAGCAAATGTGGTCAGAGTAAAAATTATGCAAATATCTTATTACCTCTAATGTGTATGCTTCATTGCTTATTTACGCTCTCAGTTAGCATTGAATCTCATATTTGGCAGCCCCAAAGATTGTTCCTCACTGGGCAATTTGTTTTTTTTTTGTGCACCAGCTCAAATGGGCAAATGAGGATCGCACAGAAGAAATCACGCTAATAGATCGTCACATCGCAAATCTCGCTACTGCAGTTCAACACAATTTGTAATCGCACAACAAAACATTTAACACAAATAAAAAATCCCTTAGCCCGAATATGGCCCCGTGAGAACCGTGACCTTCGGTGACACCCGGAGGGGCTTTCCACAACGAGGAAGGCGCCCCAGACGAGTTTACACAACAATAGCCAGAGATGTTGATTTGAATATTCCGTGCAATCTCGAATAACAAGAAATTCCTCTCTTAACCGAGAATCTTCTTAACACCGCGATATCGGTGTGGACCCTCGTAGGCTTCCAGCGGTTGCCCCCACGTGCTGATAACCCGGCCGTGTCCCAAATCTTTCTCCAGGCAGTACATTGATTTAGTGTGCTGATCTTAAAGGTGCATTGAAAAATGTTGATACTCCGACTGATGCTCCTGCTGTTGTGGAGTGACTCATGCAGCCAGCTATGGCTGCAGAGTTTGGTGGTACATGTTGTTTACGTCGTTTATTGTGAAAATTCGGTCACAGTTCCTATGATCACTGTTTCATTGCTTTTATGGCTTTATTTTGGTGATTTTCGAAAAGTTTTTTGGCTTGGCCATGTTTGTTTGTTGTAGTACAGAGTTAGACTGATGGCCTTAATCTAAGTTGTCTTGTGGTTGTTGTTGTTAATTGGTTCTTTACCCTTCTATCTGGCAACAAAACTGACAGTTTTGTTGCCAGATAGAAGGGTAAAGAACCAATTATCATATTTTTACTGGCAAATGAGGTCCCCATAGTGTTGTTGTTGTTGTTTGACTTGCATCCCACTGGGATTTTCGCACACAGTGTTGGTGTACGGTGTTTTTTCTGCAATATTTTGCTGTCTTTTCTTGGATTTTCTGTTTGCGCTTAGTCACTTTAAGATGTTTTCTTGTTCATGTTTTTGTTTGTTGCGGTTGCACCCGATTCAAGAGCCGAATGGCTCACAGGGCTATACCTATAAAATGAACTTGAACTTGAACATTGGCACTTGGCACGGTGTGTAAACCCCAGCGCAGGGGAGCAAAAGGTGCTGTCCACCCACCCACTCGTGCGCCTTACCGGCCTTCACCAGTCTGTCTAACTAAACTATTAACCGGGTTAAGGCCCCCACTGAACTATGTAGATATTTTCTTGGTTCTTTCGGTAAAGTCACGTAGAAGGGAAATAATAAAATAATAAAAATAAAACCTCATAAAATACAATTCTCATAATAAAATACAATAGTGAGAATTGTATTTTATTATGTAATATTTTTATTATTTTATTATTTCCCTTCTACGTCACTTTGCCGAAAGAACCAAGAAGATGAATCCCTGCAGTCACGAAAGCTTTAAATCGAAATTTATGTAGATATTTTTCGGAAGCGACCTGGCCACAAATGATAGCTCAATGAAGTGGCTTATAATGTGGAAATGTTATGCAGCCAAATATTCTAAACGCATTTTTCTAAATGTGGAGGGTTAACCTGAAGGACCCGGATAAAAATGCACTCGACCACGGCGAGAACATGGAAACTCCAAATATATAGGGCAGGATATTTTTATTTGTCCTTTGTGTATGTATATGTTTGTGATGTTTGTTTGTGTGGTGTACGTACCATGATTGTGTGCCACGTGGGCTGGGTCATATGGCCACCGCATGCCCAAGCAGCTTCCGTTTAGCTGGATAGAGGGAGCTAAACGGACGCGACACGAGCTGGAGAAAAGATGGACTGATGCGGTACAGAAGTGGAGCTGAGTGAACTTGCTGATGAAAGATATCAGCCGTGGATGAGACATATATATGTGTTTTTGATGTGCAGGTTTTATCATGGGAAGCTGCCAAGACACAATGCCGAGGCTCTGCTGCTTGCGAATGGGACAACGGGGAGTTTCCTCCTGAGGAGGAGCAAGGAGCCAGGGAAGTATGCGGTGTCAGTCAGGTACGGAGGGACTCTACACACACACACATCATCATCATCGGCCACTCGCCATTGAGTGGTATTGATATCTCCATGGCGCTTGTCCCAGGCTAGGGGTACTCTTAGTTACGTGACGTGTCGAAGTCTCGCTGGAAGGAGGTCATGGGACATACCCAGGTGTTGTGGGTTAAATTACTGAGATGACTGGCAGATGGTTGGCAAATACACCACCTGTACCCGCTGTGTCTTAGCCGTCCAGCGCGCTGTCCGTCACTGTGTGCATCGCTCCTCCGCCTCCAATTTAATTTTACAAGCCCCCTCCACAGAGGCCGTGCTTGAATCATTGATGTTAGTCTTCCGCGACTCCACTCAGCTCCCGAATCCACTTGCATCGCATCGGCCCATGTTCTCTCTAGGCCATTTTGTTCATTTTTACCTTCTTTTATTCCGCCAAGCCAGAAGCTGCTTGATCATTCGTGTCTGGGCGTGTAGCTAATGTTGCCCGCGAGAGGAGTTCGCTGATGGAACGTCAATATATTTTAGGAATCTTCAGAGGATCTGTGATCTCACACGGTTCAGCATGGATATAACAACACCATGAATAACAATCCACAATCCTAATGAGAATGGCGATAATATTGATAATAATGATCGTGTTGATGTTGAGATTGATGGTGGTGGTGATGATGAGTACCATGATGAGGATGATACCAAACATTATTATGATGCTGCCAATGATGATGACGACGATGATAATGATACAATTGTGATACTGCAGATGACATAGGTGATGCTGACAATTATTAGGAAGCTGAGAAGGATATGGATGAGGATGATAGGAAGGACGATGCTGCCGGAGCCGATGATGATACTGGCGATGACAATGTTGCTGCTGCTGCTGATGTTGTTCATATGCAGGACCAGCAGTAACGTCATCCACTTTGTAGCGGAACTCAATGTCGACGGGGAGGTCACCTTCGGACAAAAGAAGTTCTCCAACATGGAGAAGTTCATGGTTCACCTGCAGGGGCAGCCCATGGTCGGCAGCACCGAAGGTATAACACATGCACCTAGCCTGGCACGAGTACAAAGCCTAATTCTATCAAGATGTCATCGTGGCCCACGTCATTCGTGGCACCATTGCACGTCAGTGAAACTCTCTGCCCTCGTCAGATCCCGCAGCTGCTGCGTAGTCGAGACACGCAGGGTACCTCCAAGATATGCCCTGAATGTCTCCCACCATGCGCTCTTAGGTTCTTCCCCTTGGAACCTAACGACATAGCATCGGCAATATTACCAGCAAATGGTTGTCATACGTGCACACAAGCACCATGACAACCCTTTGAAGCTACTTTATAACACGAGTTCTAACACTATGACTAGTCCTACCACCATCAGCTGGCAGCTGGTCCTAACACCCCCAGGTGATGCAACCTCACGTGGGCCCACGCCTTGCGTGTGCGTGCGTGTGGGGAGCCGTAGTGTAGTGGTTAGCGCAATGTGCAGTGAACCCGGTGACCCGAGTTCACTTCTCGCTCACGGCCAACGCGTGACAATTATCTGAACCCTTCCTGGGCATCCCCTAGGTCGACTCAGCCACAATTGAGTACCTGGTGCGATATGTAAACATCGCCACTGGGGAGACAAAGGCGGTCGGGCGTGGTGCTGGCCACCCACCCCCTCGTGTGCCGTGTCGGCCTTCACAGGTGCTCGCTAAACAGCACTTGCCCCTCCAGTCTGTTGAGGCTACACGGCGGGATCTTTGTCTTTTGTAGCGGGCACGGTGGTTTTCCTGTCAACGCCGTACCCAGGCGTCGTGAACGAGCCCAGCATCTACACCCGCCTCAGCATCCACCACGAGGGAGGGACGTTTCCCCCGAAGATGCCCATGACCTCTGACCGCGTGTCCTCGGTGAGATGGTTGGGGGGGGGCACCCAGGACATCTTCATGCACGGGGTGGGTGGCATGGCCTCGCGCCAGGGGGTGGGGAAATATGCGGATCTTCCTCCGCATACCGCTTCCTAAACTATTCGGATCTTTGGCTGCTCCCCTTGTTGGGCAGTCGTTTTTTGTTGTTGTTGTTGAAAAACAATCGGCACCCCACACCACCCCCACAAATCTTAAATATAATTTAACGTAAAGATAATTGGTTAAATATGGCAGGGAATGAGTCACTGTGGAATGTCTTGGTGACGGCAAAATCCACGACAGTCAAACCGTGTTGTTAAATGTTAACTCAGGGGGCGATATAAACTAAAGACGCATACTCTTAGGTTTTTTCGGTAAAGTCACGTAGGTAAAATAATACAAATAAATAATAGAAATAACAATAGAAATAAAATAATAATTCACGACGTTTCGGAGGCAACACAAAGTCTCCGTCATCAGGTGGGACCAATTTTAGCTGTGACGGTGTATTGTGTGTGTGTGTAGTATATTGTGTGTGTGTTGTGTGTGTATTGTGTATTGTATTGTGTGTGTGTGTTGTGTGTGTTACAGCTGGCAGGCAAGTCTGGCTACATGGTGAAGCAGGGGGGCCGCGTGAAGGTGAGACAGCCGCACTGGGGGGGGGGGTCACTGGGGGGGGGGGTCACTGGGGGGTTCACTGGGGGGGAGTCACTGGGGGGGGGGGGGTCACTGGGGGGGGGGGGGGGAGGAGCTGTCGCCCCCCTATCCCCCGTCGTTGGCTCCACCACTTCGCATCGTGGGGCAGGGGGGGCCTCACGGCAAGGCTGCAGCCCTCCTCCCGTTCAATGCACGTGGGCAGGAAGATCGGCGGCATGCACGATTACGTCACACGATAAGTGACAATCAGTGCCGGATTTAGGCATAAGCTAAGTTAAGCTACAGTTTAGGGTCTTGTATTATGATATGGGGGGGGGGGGGGTTCTAAATACGAAAATATAATTATACAAAGTTTAAAGTTTTACATAATCGGTTGAAAAATAAAGATAGGGGGGAAAAAAGACACTCGACAAAACCGGTTATTTTCATACCCACGCGACAAAATTGACGCATTCCTCGATCTGCAAAGCCTCAGCTACGACATTACTGAAGTTCGCCAGCATCATCCGAGCCTCACGAACGAATGCATCCACACGCCTTGTAGATGATGGTTGTTTGACCATACTTCAGACTCGGTTAAACTAAGCAACGCCGTGTCCCGTCACCACGGCCGCAGCTCCTTCATTCGGCTCCAGCGGTGACATGCAGTATAAAACCCATTCACGAGAACTGCTTTTTGTGTTTAGTTTGTCGTATTTCCACCCGCACCTGCGATTAGCACGGTTTGCTACGTATGCTGCGAACAAATTTCAACATACAGTACAGATGCTTCATGGTGACCGATCCGAGCACTATCCACTCAACTTCTGCTTGGCTTCTTAAAGTTCAGGGGTCACCTGTGCAGCTGGTGGGGAGCCCAGCAGAGCACAGCGAGGCGTGGTGGTCACTTCGAGGGCAGTGGACATTGAATAAACAGGTCCCTACGGGGTGGGCTGGTAGGAACGAACAAATACGATAGGAGGGGAGAGTTTGAGGCCTAGTTCTAGGCTTTAGACCTAGCTGTAGGCTTTAGGCCGCTGTGAGTTAATTTTTTATTTAAATGTTTTAATTAAAAACTATCTCAGGGAATTATAAGGGAATGTTACACTTGTTTAGCCAGGAAAGCCTCACTGAGTCTAAAGGTTTTTTGTAGGGTCCTGCCAAGTGTTTGCAGTAGGGGGCGATGTTGCTACACCTAATCGGACATCGGACGGACGGACGATATAATCTATTGTAGGCTGGTTCACTTCGTTCCTACCAGTATAATAATGTATATTGGAGGAATCCGATGAGCTATAAAGCTCTTTTTTCACAGATTTTCAGTGTGCAGGGCCATAAGCTGAACCACAACGTCCCTCCTCCCCCCCACGCTGTGTGCAGAGCTGGAAGAAGCGCTGGTTCGTGTTGGAACGCAACGAACTCAAGTATTACAATAATCAAGCGGTGAGGTCATATCATTGTTGTTGCGTTGTCTGTACTTTCTTACTTTGTACCCTTTACAAATCCACATTCTTTTAAAAATACGTGAACAAATATGACATGGAACGGAAGCCCGTCTTCTGTAGATGTGCACGACCTTATGGATGCGAGCGAAAGAGACAAACCCACTTATGTGGACTACAAATTGCAAAACCCCGGAAGACTAACATACTTATGCGCATTACGAAATCAAACCGTTTCCTCTGCTGGTCGCGAGGACCAATCGCCACCCTAGCAACAGGTGCTCCTAGCAACGGCTTCCATAGCAACGACTCCATAGCAACGGCTTCCATAGCAACGGCTGGCCCTGCAGGAAGTAGCAACGGATGGCGTCTTTGTCGCTTTGCATGCAGGGAGTTTGGTGGGAAGTGCTGGTGGCATCACTCATCGTAAATGCCACGTGTCATCACGATAGGTTTTTTTTATCAGTTGCATCGACAAAAAAAATTCCAACACATTGTTATATAATATTTGGCTGAATTTTGATTTGAAGCTTTCGTGACTGCAGGGATTCATCTTCTTGGTTCTTTCGGTAAAGTCACGTAGAAGGGAAATAATAAAAATAAAATATCATAAAATACAATTCTCACGACGTTTCGACCACAACGCAAGCAGCCGTCCTCAGGTGAAGAACAGGTCTGTCGGAAAGACAGCGTCCGACAGACCTGTTCTTCACCTGAGGACGGCTGCTTGCGTTGTGGCCGAAACGTCGTGAGAATTGTATTTTATTATGTTTTATTTTTATTATTTTATTATTTCCCTTCTATGTGACTTTACCGAAAGAACCAAGGAGAATATTTGGCTGGTCCTGGTTTTACTTGGTTGGTCCTGGTTTTACTTGGTTCATTTCACGCGCGAACAACCCTGGAACGTGTTATGTGGGGGGGGGGGGGTCAAGACAGCCACTCGGTAATTAAAACGTGCTTTTCTGCATTACCATCTGATAACGTACAGCTAGATCTCCATTATCCGTCAGCGGGTCGATTGCCTGGCTTGCGGACTCGGCGTGGACATCAGTGCCGTTCGTTTTGAACGCAAGCTCTGCCCCTCTCTCGTCCGCGACTGTGACCACGTGAAAAAAAATAATCCAGACGACGCATTGTGTCGTCACCCCCATTCTACAAAGCAAAACCCAATAAACACACTTCTGGAGCCAAACTTGCTTGTGCACGATTTGCGTTTTTGTTTTATATCTTCCCCCAGTTACGCCAGATAATTGAGTAGTGGACTGCACAACGTTGCCACGTGATGATGTGTTTAAAGTGACCACGTGACCCCGCGTGACGGTAGGATGACAAGCCGATCGACACCTTGAGCCTGTCACGGTGTTCTAAAGTGGAGCCGGACATCAGCCAGAACAAGGGCAACTGCTTCAAGTGAGGGCACCCCCCCCCCCCCCCACATCAATACCTCCCTCGTCTCACCACCAGTCCTCGGCCCCCCTCACTCCTATAAAGTATTGCCCCGATACCCCCCCCCCCCAATCACTTGAAGTATTATTATGCTTTTTCTCAGGAAAGCCTCATTAATTCACTATTTTAAAGAGGGTACCGTCAAATTTTGCCAACAGGAAGTGAAGATTGCAGTTGTGTGTATAATGAACTCGAGTAATTTGTCGGTTTTTTTCCCAATTCGGCATATTTGAACCAGGACGGCCACAAAACGGCCTTACCACTTGCGAATTACATCAAAGTATGTTTTATATTCACTGGATGCATAACTTATTTTTCATCGTACGGAGACCCTTTTATAAATCCACTTCTGGACGAGGGCCCTTAGCACACTCACTGTGTGGGTCGTGGGGGTTTATTTATCCACACTTCATGCTGGCCATTGCAGTTTGTGAAGACTTTGGAGCAGCGTTGAATATATTTCTATTTTATGCACGGCCCTCTGCTCTGCTGCCTACAACGTAGCCCCGCAGCAACCTATAGCACCTGTTTCGTGCACGGTGGTCACTCGTCCGAGAACTATGCAGGCTCCATCCCGCTTAGCTTCCCAGATGCGATGAGGTCAGGCGCATTTCCGCGTGATTTGGTTAAATTCGGTAGACTGCTTTCCTGAGGGCAATGATGATAAATAAACGATGCTTCAATTATTTACGAGGTAGGAGGTTTAAGATACAGACATAGACATGTATTGTTGTTGCTGCCAATGATGCGGATGTCACTGCTGTTGTACTGGCCCAGGATGGTGTTTCCAGAACGGACTTATTACATGCACACAACCACACCCGAAGAGCGAGAGCACTGGATGGAGCTCCTACAGTTCAAGCTGGTGAGACGTCGCTTTCGTTTCTACGACGCAGCGCTAAGTCTGGATCTTGTGCGATTGTTTCAAGTGCAGAAAAGCATTGAACGGTCTCTACTCGCAAACGTTTGGCCAAGCTTCTTGAGGAAATGTGCTTTCCTCGACACCAATACCAATCCCCGCCATTCGCCACCAAGTGACGGTGACGTCACCACGGCACCTGTGCCAGGCCAGGTGCACTTTGAGGCACCTGGTCTGGCGTTATTGCCCTTCGCTCAAAAAAACTCTATCGAACAGCGACACCGCTCCCGTGAATCAATTAATTGGCGGTGGCGGTGCTGTTGTTTTCCAGAACCCGGAGATCAAGCACAACTGCCTATGAAGCCCTGCCCACGTGGCCCACAGCTTCACCCTCCCACCAGCTTCCAACTACAGCTTTGCCCCGTCCACAACCGCCCCCCCGTGGAACCACTTCCTGGCCAGGGTTGACACCAGTGATAAGTGATACCAGAACTGGTGATGTATGGTCAACAGACTCACACGACCGACACGGCGTGGGGAGGCAGTCAAGCTGCAGTGGATTGACAAATGACTGTAAACTATTAATACAATTTAAACAAAACTTATAAAACAAGAGTATAACATTGAGTATATATGTTTGGTGCAAACAATAGCCTCGGTAACCTATACAAAATCATTAAAGATTTCTATTCCAGTATTTAACAATCGTAGTATTGACTTAAAGCTTTCGTGACTGAAGGAATTTCATATTCTTTGGGTCTTTCGGTAAAGTCACATAGATAGAACAATAAAAAAATAAAGTGAATAAAAAAATAAAATGTCACGTCATCAGGAGAAAAAAAAGGAACGATTGCTTGTGTTGTGATCGAAACGTCGTGATAGTTTTATTTTTTGTTATTCACTTTTTTTTCATTTTTATTATTTTGTTCCATCTACGTGACTTTACCAAAAGAATAATCGTAACATTAATCAAGCACATAACTGTAGTGTAAAATGCTTTACTCAAGAATGAATACATTTTACATTGTGGAAATAACGGTTTTTAATTCAGAGCAGTTGCAAGGGTCATGTGACACCATTAAATGTACAAATAGAAAGCGTACTCTTATACTCGTGCAGTTATATGCATGTATTGGGAGCTTAAATAAATAATTAATGCATTTCATCCACCTCGATTGGTTTGGTGCTTTTGTAATAACCCACACAGATGAGGCAGTTGATGGCAATAATTGGGGCTTATTCTGCTACTGCAAATGAGGATTCGGGTGCTGCTGATGTTAGTATTGACAATGCTGTAGGTTAACAAGCAAAAAAATTAGTTTTGAAAGTTAAAAAAACCTCAACAGTAAGCACTCATCCCCCATGTGACTCATCTCACCCATGTGACTCCCATCAAAGCCGCCACTTACGAGAAAAACAATAAAGACAAGTTACTGACTCCTCTCTCTACCAGTCTCCCTCATCCTGCCCGCATATCTCCCTCATCCTCCCCATGTCTCCCTCTTCCCCGTATATCCCTCAACCTCCTTGTCTCCCTCCTCCTCCTCCTCGGTGTAGGCGATGTATGCGTGCGTGTACTGTATGTGCGATGCTACTTGCGGGGAGCGGTGGCGTAGCGGTTAGTGCGCTTTGCTACAAACCTGGGTCCTAGGTTTGATTCCCGCTCACGGTCGACACCAGTGACAATTATCTCAACTGGTATTGGGCCTCACCTCGGTCAACTTAGCCTCAAATAAGTACAGTGAAACTTTTGGATTGCGAGCATAATACGTTCCTGAAACGTGTTTGTAATCCAAATCACTCGTATATCAGTTGTGATCATGTGATGCTCGGCAGACAAAGCGTATGCACGTACTACTCGTATTGCAAGACCTCGCTCGTTTATCAAATTAATATTTATTTAAAAAATTTGCTCATCTTGCAAAACACCCGCAGACCCAAGTTACTCCTGTACCTGGTACGGTGTGTAAACATCACCACGAGGGAGACGAAGGTAGCGGGGCATGGCGTTGGCCACCCACCCTCATGTGTCGTGGCAGCCTTCATAGGTGTTCGCTAACAGCACTTGCTCCAACTGTCCATTACGGCTATACGGGGGATCTTTGTCTTTGCGATGCTACTCCTGTTGCTGATGATGTTGCTCATGTTTTTCTTGAGGCTATCGCTGTAGATGATGAAGTTTTACTTTTGCGATTGCGGATTTTTCCGAAACTGCTGATTCATCAGCAGGATTAGAGTGGAGGAGAAACGGGAAGCTCAGCGGGTACTGAGTTTATCCTCCAGGCGAGCGTTCATGGAGGCGAGGTTTTGAGCCCCAGAGAGGACAAGGTGAGCATCTACGAGAAGAGACGAGAGGGAGGAAGGCTGTGGGGGGACACAGAGACAGACACAGATATACGCATTATGATCACTCATAGATAGACGTACACAATCACAGAAAAACACTGAAACACGCACAATGGCACAGAAACAGATAATCTCAGACAGATGGGATGAGGAGACAGAGACAGACACTTCGACATATACAGAAAAACAAACATAGATAGACACGTGTGTGTACTGTGTGCATTCGAGTATCTAGTGCGGTCTGTAAACGTCACGGAGAATTGGTGATCAACTTGGACTCTTAATCATGAACATGGATCACCAATGATCAGTATAGATAGCAATATTGAACAATAATTATTAGTTATTTATTTTGACTCTTAAGAATTATTATCTGTAGTTAATGATTAGGGAGACAAAGGTGGCTGGGCGAGGTGCTGGCCAGCTACCTCAATGTCCCGTGACAGCCTTCATAGGTGCTTGCTAACAGCACTTGCTCCTACAGTCTGTTAAGGATATATGGTGGGATCTTTGTCCATAATACAGGTTTTTTGGGTTAGATTGCATACATCTATAAATGTGTCGTGAAACCTACCACCACCCGACACAGCCAATTAGTAATGTTTGTCACAAACAGAACATGCGTGCATGTGTGTCTGTCTATGTATCTCCGTGTCTGTGTTTTGTCACTCAAATTTCACACTTAACTTCTAATTTAGAAATATTTGTAAGAACGTAATAAACCAGGCTATGCGTTAACTGTGTGTTAACCGACTCTCCGTGTTGCATTGCATTTCCAAATTTTACTAAGTTTGTTTTCTCAAACTTCCTATTTCTCTTTCAAATTTGCCAGGCTTGTTTGTCTATTGGTTCATGCTGCGGGGGTGGATTTCCACACAACTCTCTCATTGACATGCTAATTTCTCTACCCCCCCCCTCTCTATTTAAGGCCTCGACACAGAGGCGTTGTTTCTCTGTGTGTGTCTCTGTGTTGTCTCTCTCTGCTTGTGTGTCTATGTGTCTGTGTTTTGTCTCTCAAATTTAGCAATCTTTGGAAGAACGTAATCAACCAGGTAGGGTGTTGACTGTTGTGTTAGCCGACTCTGTGTTGTGTTGCATTATATTTCTAAGTTTATTAGGTTTGTTTTCATTTTTACCAGATGACGATTGCTTGTGTTGCAATTGAAACGTCGTATTCTATTATTTAATTTATTTTCTTTCTACGTGACTTTACCAAAATAACTGATTGGGTTCAGGTGATGACATCGTCCTGCTCCATTTAAGACAGGAAGCAGGTGGATTGCTTCACTATTCTGGCAAATCGGCCGATGATGCTGGATGCAATTACCAGCGAAACGTCGTACTACTCAAATTGTAAATGTTGTGGATTTACTCTCCAACACACCGCTTTGTCTGCCGAGCGTCACGTGATCACAACTGATCTACGAGTGCTTTGGATTACAAACACGTTTCCGGAACGAATTATGCTCGCAATCCAAGGTTTTACTGTACCGCACTGGGTGTGGGCGGCAAATTGGTCAGGGTGGATACGCGATGGTCCTCTATGCAACATAGTGTATCTTATTTGGTCTTGACTCACCAGTTCCTCCTCTTCCTCCTCCTCTTCCCCGTGCCTTCTCTGTCCCCGTGTCTCTTTCTCCGTTTTGTAAAAGTTGGAAAGAGACTCTAAAGTTGTGGCGGCGTCAGCCAGGGCCAGGTCCCGTATCTCCCCCAACTCCAAAGCCTCCTGCCGGAGCCTACACAGCATCACACCATTAGCAGTGTCATTCTCATCAACAGCATTATCAGTAACACCAACAATATTTTAGTAATCAGCAGCATCAGCAGCAGCATCAGCAGCAGCATCAGCTTCTTCATCGGTAGCATCAGCTTCATCATCAGTAAGAGCAATAGCCGCATTCGCAAGATAAGATCAAGTGCACCAATAACAGCAGCAACGTCATCATCATAATTCTAAAAACACAGCATCCTAATAATTACGATTGGTCATAGGGTTCTTAAAACCAATAATGATGATGATGCTGCTGCTGACGATACGTTAGCCGATTCCCACCTCTCTTTCTCCATCCTCATTGCGAGTCTCCTCTTGCGAATTCTCACCAAATCCAACTCAACCTAAGATACAAAGAAGAAGCCACATTCGTCACCAGGACGTCAAAAGTTATTCACTACCTATCATCATTAATAGTTAATTACTGATAATTAGTATCAATTTTCATAATTAATATTCAATATTGCTATCTATACTAATCATTGGTGATCCATGTTCACGATTAAGAGTCAGTTAATCACCAACTCTCCGTATTAAGCCTTAAGAATAATCACTCAATGTAACACCTGTCAACCCCTTATCAGTATCTATCTTATTACAGACCAATTCAGACCTTATTGGTCACCTCGTGCCCTTATAAATCTCAACGTTCATCCTACAAAGTCCCATCACAAGGGAAAAACACAAACAAAGAGACATTTTTTTTGCCCGTAATGAAACGGCTGTACGCCATATGGACCTGAAAACTAAAATTCCCTGTACAAGAATACGGGTAAACCGCATGGGTCGACAGGTATGCAATGTTAAACATCAATATCAATTAACATATTATCTCTAAAGGAAAATCTTAATAATTGGATCGTGAGATGGTGGCACCTTAATGAGGCTTTTAATCAGCAGTGGATTGACCATGGCCGATGGTAACGAATTGACATTATGGCAAGTCCTCAATGGTGCGTTCACACGACGCGCTTTTTCAATATCGCGGTTCCTCCATCACGGGAACACCATTCGCACAACGCGAAATGCGCATCGTAATAACGAGAAGGCGCGCCGTTATAACGCGGGGCGCACGCTGTTATACCATGGGATGCGCGGTTATAACGAGGAATGTGCACCGTGATAACGCGGGACGCGCGCCGTTATAATGCGTGCTGTTATAACGTGGTACGTGCAGCCGAGCGGTATGATACAGTCCGTGGAATGATACAGTAACGCAGCGGCGTACCACCCTCAGTTATTCGTCCTGCCATCTGTCTGTGCGTATATCGTATCCCGCCAAACTTTATCATTGCGTTATTTATGGGGAAATGGTTTTCGCTTAACGCGCCACTTTTCAGGAACACTTCCATCGCACTGAACGAGGACTTTCTGTACACGTCAATTTCTCTACCCGTCACGTCTCACCCGGCGTAACTTGGAATTCAGATGCTTCCATTCTTGACGTTTAAGAGCCTGCGACACAGAACACAAGCGCAGTGAATTCACCCAAAGCACGGAAAAAGCATCAACAAATAACGCGTGACAAAATCGAACAATGAATCAATGCATCGACAAAATAATCTATAAAAACTCAACAATAATCAATGAACTAAACGTTTTTATTTTGCCAGGTAGGGCTCACTGAGCTTTATAGCTCTTTTTCAGAAACGACCTGGCCACAAATGAAGCGGCTTGTCACGTGGAAATTTATAGCAAACACTCTACACACGTTTCTAAATGGTGGGAACAATCGCAGGACCCGGAGAAAAATCCACGCGACCATGCGGAGAGACACGCAAACTCCAAATATACAAGCATCGAGTTGGGATCGAACCGATGACTTCCTGTATACCAGGCGAGGGAGTTAAAATCTCACCGTGTCGTCCAATAATCAACGAAGTAATCGACAAGGCACAACTCCGCTGGCATTGCTGCCGGTCACATTCATTGCTGAAATAAAATTTTGCTCATTTGTTTAAAAAAAAACGATTTTGTGTCATCATCATCAGGATCGGCCACGGTCGATCCACTGCTCAATGAGGGCCTCACCACACCGTGTAGGTCGTGGGGGCTGTGTGGTCATACTTCACCACGCTAAGGCTGTGATCGACTAAGGCTGTGATGTTGCCACAGATGTCACGGGGGTCAGGCAAATCGTGAATTTGATTTAACTCTAAAGTGAAATCTTGGAAATAGTATCTCGAAACGGATGACGCGCTTAATTTGTTTCCTTTAAAAACTGCCGTACATCATGCACTAACAATAAAAATCTGTGTTTTCAGCATATGGACAGAGAATTAATTGCAGCTCAGCCAATAAGATTCACAGCTATGGCCATAATTCTTGCAAAAACTTCCAATGCCGAAATTATATCCTTATGAATGATTAACAGCGATTTATATAAAGTATTAATAATCCGTGGTTCAAATGTATTAATAATAGTCTCGCCATTCATAAGGATTGTTAATGATATTGATTTTAACGATTATTCTAGAAAGTTAAAGATAAATCATCTCACCAATTTATTAAATTCCACCTGCAAGTTCTTATGAAGCTCTTGAAGGAAAGTAACGCACACTTGAGATGTCACCTCCTCCCTAGAGACACACGCAGAAATATACAAACATCCCCCGAATAGCGTTAACAGACTGTTGGGGCAAGTGCTTTTCGTGAGCACCTACGGAGGACGGCACGGTACACGCAGCACCACATCCCAGCAGCCATCGTCTCCCCAGTGGCGATGTTTACACACCGCACCAGGTACTCATTTGAGGCCGAGTCGACCTGGGAGAGGCCCAGGACTCTTTCAAATAGTCGTCACTGCTGTTGGTGGCCGTGAGAGGGTATCAAACTCGTGTTGCTGGGTTTGTAGGGAGCACCCTAACCGTTGTGCCACTGCTCCCCATGAAATATATACAAAAACATACACGGCCATATATACCACCATATCTGTGCGTGCGCATCTCTTTGTGTGTGCGTGTCTCTTGAGTGTCACTAACATGTAGGTCTCGATTGACGCTGTATATGTAGAGTAGTGTGGAGCGGTGGTGGTGGTGGTTAGCGTGCTGTGCTTCAAACCCGGCAACCAGAGTTAGATTTCCGTGCACAGCCCACTCCAGTGATGATTACAATTATCTGAACCGGTCAAAGGCTACCCCTAGGTCTACTCGGCCTCAAATTAGTACCTGGTGCGATGTGACAAAGGCGGTCGAGCGTGGTGCTGGTTTTCATACATGCCTAACAGCACTTGCCCCAACAGTCTGTGAAGGCTGTTCAGGGGATGGTGTTCGTATGTGCGAGTATCTCATTGATGTGTAGGACTTCGTGATGCTATATATGTAGGTGTATGCTTGTGTGTGCCATGCTGGCCTTAATAGGTGCTCGCCAACAGCACCTGCCCCAAATGTCTATTCAAGGCCATACAGGAGATCTTTGTCTATGTTTGTCTGTGTAGAGGAGTGTTTATGTGATGGGTCTCTGTGTGGGTTGTGGTCTCTATGGGAGTTTCACTGACATGTAGGACTCAAGGACGTTGTGTATGTAGGTGAGGATGACATCAAGCGCGGTGAGTTGGCGAACTCCTCTCTTTCGTTCTCCTACACACACTCGCACAGTGCGCACTAAACACATAGATGCACATTAATATACACACACTCAACAACAACAGCAGCCATTCGCCATTAAGTAGTGATGGTGCCACCACGGCACTTGTGCCAGGCGCACTCCGAGGCTCGCTGGCAGGTCACGGGTCAGACCCAGGTTACACGAGTTGACAGGTGCACTATCTGCTCCCTCTCCCGCACCTCTGATTAACATGGTTGGCTACATATGGTGCGAAAGAAGTTCAATATACATACGTGCCTCCTACTGTGCCAAATTTATGTGTTTTAGCCACCCGGCGCTCCGCTCATTGTCGCGAGCAAAACACTCGCTCACACATTCACACACTCGCCATCACTTGCACTCACGTTTGATCATCGAAGCTCTCCCTGCACTGCCGGGGTGGTCCCTGGTTCTCCGTGGGCGCAGTTTCTCCAAAGTGTTGGGCTGATGTGGCTGCAGCTGCTGCACCGCAACGGAGCGTCGTGCCGGGCCGCTGTGCAAGGACTGGGTGCCCTGTTAAGAGATTTGGAGAGTTTTCAAATCGGTGCATCGTATCACCGTAAAAGGCCAAATACCCTCTTCAAAGGGACCCTTTATCGGCCCTTCTGTCAGCAGTGGCATGAAAAAGCAATTTGAAGACTGGACCTTTACCATTCATCCACCACATCAATTCTCCGACCTATCCTTTATCCACCACATACCAATATTAATGTGTGACCTGTAACATATGAAGCAGAAGGACAATGAAAAAGAAACCAAGTGTGAAAGTTTGAACGGTCCAAATTGTTACTGCCAAAAAAGTTCCCAGCAAATTTTATTTCCATCCATCCGTGTTGCCATGGCGTTAATGTGTGCTGGAATTGCAAGCCAAGAGGTCGCCTGTTCGAACTTCTGGTAGGCTTATAGCTCATCGGATTCCTTCAGTATAAATATTCTGATTCTGAAAACAATGACACGTGGCGCCATTGGGAAGGGGGATAAACGTGACGTGTGACATCATCGCCTTGGCTGAAGCGGCTTAGTCGACACGTTTTGGGCAACCCTTTGTTCAATTTAGCCAGATCATCTTTACGAGAGTTATCATGCCTCCCCATGTTACAGTCAGACGGAGTTAATGCACAAATGCTATCAAACTTAAGTTTGGAAGCGTGAATGATGTATAACCTAACAAAGTGAGGTGCGAGCGAGTTTGAACATTTCAGCATTTACAACAAAAAAAACTAAATCGGTTTTGTTGAATCGAGAATTTGAGAATGTTGACAATTTATGTAAATAAGATGCAATATTATTACACTCGGGGTAATATAACGAGATTGACATTACAAATCAGACAATATAAACGAGACAAGACAGGGTATGTTGACCTTCTTTCTCACCGTGTTAGTCGGAGGTGCGGAAATACAAACGGAATGGGAAAAAAAGTGACTGGATAAAAATGAAAGGATAATTTAGGCAGAAACAAACGAGATGGGACAGAAAAAACGAGACTGCCAATATGACAGACACGATGAATGAGACAGCCAGCAATAGACGTATAATTTCTCGTCTCACCGATTTGTGTCCGAAGTTGGTAGGTGTCTGCGAGGTCAGTCCATGTTTTTGTGAAACTCGTTTTTCCAAAAATGTTTCAATGGAAATATCAACTTCGCTGTCTTCTTCGTCTTCCTGTTCTACTTCCTCTTCTAAGATTCTGGCTTTTTTCGAAGAATGTCCATGTGGTATCAAAGTTCCAACACCTTCCATTTCTTCCGCCTCCTCCTCCTCCTGAATCTCAGATTCCCGAGAATGCTCCTGATCTGGGCTTTCAAGGTCCGGCGGGCTTTCAAGGTCTGGCAGGTTTTCCTGCACATTTTCAAGGTCACCTTCATCACTGTCACGATCACTTTCACCAACAACTTCATCATTATCCGGAGGAGTTGGCTGTACAGTTTGTGACTCTGAACCTCGGCTCTCTGAAGGATTTTCCTCCATAGCTTCACCATCTTGATTTGTGGTTCCAACGGGGCTGTTTTCAGAATTATTTAGGTTTGGACTTTCTAATTCCGCGGTTGGTACTTTCTGAGCACTTCTAGTGGTAGCATCATCTTCTGGAATAATTTGTGGGGTTATCTTCAATGATATCTGTTGAAAGAACAGAGGAATTCAATTATCAAGATTGCAATCCCTATTTTCCAGATCTACCATGGACTGGCTCCTGCCTATGCTTGTCCCCTGATCTTACTTTACTCCACCTCCATGCACTCCCCTACCTTCCCCCTCTCACCTCACTACACACCTCTCCACGTGCTCTCTGGCCTCACCCCCAGTGACACACAAAAACAACCAGAACCAGGGCTCAAAGTCAGGATCTCAGTATCTCCAACATAGTCATTATGAAACCGACAATGATTATGAACCCCCAGAGATACAGAGACACGCATGATTCGAATTCAGGATCTCAGCAGTGCCAGCCGTTAAAAACCTCTTAAAGAGAGAAACAGACAGCCAGACCCAGGGCTCGAACTCAGGTTTCACAATGTTGTTGATCTAACCTTGGATTCTGGATGACTTGTGTTAGTCTTTGACTTTGCAGGCCTTGCGAAGTCTAAAATCACAGAACATACGTTACAAACATCATTAGCTCCATCAAGCAGTGGATAGATGGTGGTAATAAAAGGAAAGATGCATATGGATAGAAATACACCAAAATAGAAAGAGGAATACATGGATATATAGATAAAATATATGAATGTACAGGCAACCCCCACACCTACAATCTAATTGTATCCTGGACAACATTCGCACCCTTATTACCCATAGCTGAAATGTTATACATTGGGGTTCCGTTCCTGGAAACCCATTTACATACCATAAAAATACCAAAATTTACCGCAAAAATAAATGAAAATAACCCTTAACACACATTCATTGTAACTTAACAAACATATTTTTAAGTAAAACACATATTTTTAAGTAAAAACACATTTTAAAATCTTTAAATACTTTTCTAAATGTACATCACATTTCCTCTTTTCGGACATGGCGAAAGTGGATTTTTTTCTCTCAAAATTTGAAGAGAATTCCCTAAAAAAGTGAAGAGCGTTGCGCAAGAGATGCGTTCGCTCTAGGCCAATCGACTCGGCGTTGGCGGTCATAGATACGAGTTTTAGTCGCTGTAGGGGTTTTAGTTACTATAAAAAAAAGTCGTAAAACCGGGGGGTTGCAAATCGGGGCTTCGTAAAACAGGGGTTACCTGTATGGAGAACTTCTTTCAAACCGTGTGCAGTCAATCGTTCTAATCGGACGTACGGGAATAGTCTTCCCCGACCAGGAATCAAACTCGGGTCGTGGCGGTCAGAGTGCCGAATCATAACTACTAGACCATTAGAGAAGGCAAAGATATGCAGGTTAAATGTATGTATGTAGCACGTCTTTTGCACCATGCTAATGGTATATCACTACATCCTATGCTCTTTCAAGATTGAGCCACAGAGATGATTAAATGTCGAGTGAGTTCACAAACATCCACACATACAACAAAGATCCCCGCCCACTCCACATAGCCTCAACAAACTATTGGAGCAAGTACTGTTCACAAGTAGCACCTATGAAGGTCGGCACGGTACATGAGGGGGTGGGTGCCCAGTACTACGCCTTGTGTCTTATTCACGGCGATTTTTACACAATGCACCAGGTGCTCATAAGAGGCTGAGTCGATCTAGGAGAGGCCCAGGATCGGTTCAGATAAATCTTCACTGGCGTTGGCCGTGAGTGGGAATCGAACTTCGGTCGCTGGGTTCGTAGTGCAACATGTTAGCCGCTACCCCACTGCACCTTATCCACACATGCACACACATACTTGGACATACTGCATAGCTAAACTAATGTACCTTCTTCAGAGTAGTCCTGTGTGCTGGGCAGCATCAGAGCCATCGAGCCATTCTCATCGTTGGTGGACACAAATAGCTGGGGGCATGGAGAAGAAGAGACCCATAGACTCACGTAGACACTCAAGAGACCCACAGACTTACACAGACACCCAAAGTGAAACAGAGACTCATAGTCTTCCACAAATACCCACTCACCCAAAGTCCCATATGCAAGTACTATATGCGAGTTTCTGTGTAAGTCTCTGGGTATCTATGCAAGTCAATAGATAATCATGTCTGCGAGTCAGACTATAGAACCACGGCTTAAACAGCTTCTCAGTGTATCTGACATGGCCATTATGAATCAGAAATTGTTATTATGAGTTTAAGATGGATGACCATTATGAGCCTCTTACCTGCTTCTCCAAATGAGCACTTTGTCTTGTCGGAGACTTTTCCACAGCATCAGTGTCTGTAACGTCAACAGTTACATGAGACCCCTAGACTCACATACAAGCCAGGTTTGGTACCAGCCTTAATAGATGCTCGCTAACGTTACACTAGTGTTTGAGCTACACGAGGGCTCTTGGCCTACCTACATGTCTGTGGGGGGGGGGGGGGTAATGTAGTGGTCAGTGCCCTGCACTACGAACCCAGCGACCCGAGTTTGATCATGGCTAATATCAGTGGAGTATCCAGGGCTGTGTGTAAACATCGCCACTGGGGAGCCAAAGGTTGTCGGGCGTGGTTCTTGCCACAACACTCCCCCGTGTGCCGGTCCTAATAGGTTCCCCCTAACAGCACTTGCCCCAACAGTCTGTCCAGGCTATATGGATGATCTTTGTCTACAGTATGTGTGTATATGTGTATCTCTGACCTGGAGGTTCCTCCTCCACCTGTAGTTGTTCTTGCACAGCAAAATTAAATTTTCGTTGCGTGGGCTCTCTCGTGCTGTTCACACAACACGCACACACACAGAGTTGTAAAGTTGATTTTTGTTCAACCAGGTGAGAACTCAAGAGACCAGGGCGGTCTCATTTGTAAGGCTGAGCTGGCTCACCAACATGCCAAAAGCAATGATGTAAACAACGAAGTAATGTACAACAATACTATAAGCTGAATCTACGCATGTATGTTGAACTTCTTTCGCACCGTGCGAGAAAATATATACAGTATATAGTGCATGCCTGTCAAGCCCTTATCAGTGCCTTACTTATTCTTGGTTCTTTCGGTAAAGTCACGTAGAAGGGAAATAATAAATACGATAGCAGCACCGACGAGGAAGCAGCCGAAGCCTTGGATCAGAGTTTCGTATTCATTAAACCAGGTTTTAATTCTCCGAAATCGGGTTTAATTGTATTAAAGAAAAAACCCGATGCCTGCCGCTGGAAAAATCGGGTTTTTTCCACCCATGTGACCAAGGCACCCCCGGGCTTTTCACATCGTGATCTAGCCCGGCGTAACTTACAGGTTGCTCGTAGGTAGGGCAGGCAAAACCTTTACACGGCTCGGGGTTAGCCGGGCGTGGAGGAAGCGAGGCGGAGTGGAGCCCAGGTGCGCTTCGTGTTGGGAGCGATAGGCATGAGACGGCGGCTTCCATAACAGCGTTAACACGATGGCTCACGACTACCATCGTCACCGTCACCCAGAAGTTAATTCGCCGCGGACGGCCCGGCCTGGCTTGGCAACTCACCTCAGAGGGCGCGTTGTGGGCCGCCTCAGCGGCTGCAGAGGCTCCATCGCGAGGGGAGAAGGCGGCGTTGGGAGCCTCCTCCACTTTCACTTTTCGCTTCTCCCGCCAAAAATGAAGCTTCCCCCCCCCCCCCACCACGTGACGCCACCAGAATCGATTCCTAGGAAATCGTGATTGGTTTGCCGGGGGTTCGATTCCTCCGCTTGTTATAAGGAGGAATGGATCGATTCGTAATTAAAATTGTTACCTCGATTCGTTTCGATTTTTCCGTTGCAGTACTGTACTTCGAATGGCGTTAGATTTTTTAAATTGCTTTAAACGTCAAGAATCAGAATCTCTATTTATCCGGGAGAAATCCGTGGCGTCCGAGCAAACATTAATGGCAGAATCCGTTATTAACGAACCGGGTTTCGATTTATTAAAATAGATTCATTAAGTTCGGAATTGTATTGACAAGCTTTTGATTTCACGTTGCCGTATCAAGGAATGTAAAAATCTATTCAACGGAGATTTATTGTTAAAACGGACGCAGATTTTACCAGCAACGCCTTGAACTTGAGTGGGGACTTCTGACGTCACGTGCACGCCTTGGGACTGTGATGTCATCACCCAGGGGGGGGGTTGTGGTGACGTCATCGCGCAATGGGATTCCGACTTACGTGACGTCACGCGCGTCCCGTTGTTTTATGACGTCACCGCCAACATGAAGTCATCGATTTAATTTAAACTAAAGAAGGAATCGATTCTCTCCCAAAAGCTGCACCCCCTAACGTTGCCATAAAAAAAGAATCACCTCAGTAGTAATCGATTCGATTCCAAGCTGGTGTTCTTCCCACGGGAATCGACAGTTGGTGTTGATGATCGCGAATCGATTCCTGTCGTGTAAGAAGTCAACTCAGCCGGACAAGGCCCCAATCAGGTTTGTACCTCCTGCCGATTAATGATCGCGGCTGATATCTTTCTCTCCTTGTCGATAATGGATATGATCATCGTCGTCATCGTTATTATTACCATCACCAGTCACAGCCAGTGCACCGCCAGCAATCACAATTTTGAGACGTATTGATAATTGTTAAATGCGTCTTCTTGAGCCTGTTGCTTTCGCTTCGGATGTTGCTGATTAATCCTTGTTGGCCGAAACGTCGTGAGAATTTTATTTTATTTATTTTTATTACTTTATTATTTCCCTTCTACGTGACTTTACCGAAAGAACCAAGAAGATGATCGCTGTCTGTTGATGCCAATGATTACTGTAGCCCGAGTGAAGACTGCTAGACTCCCATGTAATGATGATGCCGATGATGATGTTTGGGGCCGTCCATAAATGACGTCACGTACCTAGGGGGGGTCAGATTTTTGTGACGATGTGTGACAAGGGGCGGGGGTCAAATATCGTCCAAAATCGCGTGACGTCATTTATGGACGGCCCCTTTACTGTAGGATGAGCGAGGAGGAGACCGGGTTTGAGACTAATGCTCCTGATGCTGCTGCTGCTGCTATTGATGTTGCTATTTGAGGATGAGTAATACTGTGAGGCTGCTTCTGATTATAGTCATACAGATTACGCAAATTACAATCCCAAATCTGGCTGTCACCTGGTGATTGCCGGTTGTAATTACTGGCGAAACGTCGTACTCCAATTGTAAATGTTGTGGGTTTACTCTCCAACACACCGGTGTGCTGTACTAGTAACGAATTTTCACGTTCTGTTTACCTGACAAACCTTACTAATTGGCTGTGTCGGGTGGTGGCGGGTTTAACGACACATTCGTGCGACCCGATGGATAATGTCTGGTCGCCAAAGCCTCCTACGTGTTAAGCTACAATTGTGTTACAGCTTCTAAAAAAATGGTAATGACGATGCTGATATTTATTTCAGGATGAACGAGGAGGATCGAATCTGTGAGGCTCCGTGCTGAGCGCAGGAGAAATCGACTCCTGCAGAACCCAGAGGAGAGAATGAGGAAAATCCTTGGGCATGGAGACATGAAGGCGAGAGACACTGGGAGACTGCAGGGTGAGAGATACACGGGGAGAGAGATGAGGGGTGAGAGATATACACAGGAAAATAGAATGAAATGACTGAGACATACACGGGGAGAGACGGAGACACGGAGAGACAGATCATACATGGTAAGAGAGAGACACGAAGAGAGAGTAGGGGAGGGAGATATACACAGTTGAGTGTCACTGACTTTCTACGTCTCTGTGTCTATATCTGTCTTTCTCTCTGCATCTGTCTCTATATCTCTCTTTGTCTCTCTGTTTCTGTCTCTCCATTTCTGTCTGCGTCTCTCTCCCTTTATCTCTGCCACTGTGTGTTTCTCTCTCCGTGTGCGTCTCTGTCTCTCTCTTCTTCCCCCAGACCCTGAGAAGGAGGGGGGAGGAGGGGATCAAGGGGGACGTGTCTCCACCACAGACTCTGCCAAAGATGCAGACGAAGGAGCAGAATGAGGAGAAGGGGGGGTCCCCCACCCACCCCGCCCATGCCACTGAGCATAGCACCACCCCCCGACTCAGACTCCCACGTACGCGTGGGCCAAGCAGAGCCGAACTTGGCGAGAGATCTCTAGGGCGGTGGGCAAACGCCTCCGGTGAGTGCACGCACCGCACGTGCGTATACACACGTGCAGTATAAAATACGTGCATGGGCGCATGCACAAACACATATTGATACGTACGAACGCACACAAAGGTGGTACTTGGCTCTAGGGCTCTCTCAAGCGGAGGCCCTTCCTGACAGCAGTGGTATGAGCAAGCCATTGCAGGGCTGCCCCTTCACCTCATCCCCCCCCCCCGCCTCCTTTCCTTTGTCTCTCCTGCACAGAGCGGCCTCGAGAATTACTTTGCTCAGCTCGACCAAGTCCTGAGGGCGGAGGGATATGGTGGCGGTGGTGGTGGTGGAACAGCGGAGGGATTTTTCCGGCGTCGTAAAGAGATTGGAGGTGGCGTGGAGGAGGAGGACGAGGAAGACGAGGGGGAGGTTTTCCGTCTGCTACGTTTGCTCTGCAGTGCGATGCTGGCCCTATTCGTACGGATTTTCGTCGTCCAGTACCTGGTGAGTGAGGCGTGTCTCCCCGTTTGACTCCTCGTCCAAGTTTGAAGTACAAATTTTGTTACGACGTCGGGAGTGATATCATGCAGGTACTAAGTGGATTGTTGCATTGCAGGATCCTGGGAGTTGGCGACAGTTTGGGAAGGGGGAGGACTTAATTCAGCAGTGGATAAATCATGGCCAATGATGATGATTGTGTGTGTCTGTGTGCTACAGTCCATATTCGCTCCGTTCCTGACTCTACAAGTCGCTCTGATGGGCATTGGAAAATTCTTCCCACAGGTACAAATATTGTCACACCAATGTTATCTTTACACAGAGAAAGACACAGGGAGAGATGCACAATTTGATAGAGATATGGGGAGACAGACAGACACAGGTAGAGAGGAATAGAGAGGTGGGGGGGAGGGGGAGAGAGGCACGGCGAGAGAAAGAAGCAGAATATATATTTATACTGGAGGAATCCGATAAGCTATAAAGTTCTTTTTCACAGATGTCCAGTAGGGCGGGTCAGAAAGTTACAACAATAAGCAATACAAACACACTACACGAGTGCAAAGTATAGGAAAGGTAAACAAATCACAAACAAAAATGTGATTTTTATTTCACCAAGTAAAGCCCACTGAGCTGCAGAGAGACCTTCATATAGAGAGACACAAAGGGAGAGACTCAGAGAAATGGAGAGAGACAACCAATGAGGTTATCAGACGAAATTAGTTGTAAACGTATGGAGTTCAGACAAAATATACCCCTCCCCGTGTCTCCCTTCTCTTCCTCATGTCTCCCTCCTCCCCGTGTCTCCCACACTCTCCCTTGTGTCTCCCTCCTCCCCTGTGTGTCTCCCACCTCCCCGTGTCTCCCACACTCACCCCTGTGCGTCTCCCTCCTCCCCTCCCCATATCTCTCTCATCTCCATGCCTCCCGTCCGTCTTTCCCTCCACTCAGTACGAACGGAGGGTTCCCAGATGGATGCCCACAGAGCTCACTCGCATCCTCACGGGGAACTCGAGGCAGCGAAGTGTTTCCACGGGAGACTGCCCGACCACCCCCTCCGCCACCACTCCCTCCGCCACCACCCAGACCGCATTCCCCCCGTCGGCTGCCACCACCCTGCGTAACCTCTGGAGCCCGTCGGTTATCGGCATCGCCACCCAGGGCAGCTCGCTCTCGGCCCTGCTCCCTCGGCTCTTGCGCTTCTACGCGCGTCTCACGGACGCCTGCGCCGACCTCGCTGTCTATTTCTTCACAATCTTAGTTTGCCACGAGGGCATGCGGGCGCTCGGCGCGGAGATGGAGCAGGAAGAGTAGGGAGGCAAGTAGGGGTCGAGGAAAAGGAGGGAACAGGATGAGATGAAACAACGGCACGAGAGGGAGGATGGAGGGAGTTTCGAGTCGATTACAACTAGGGCTGCCACAGTATTTCTCGCGATGCGATGTCAGATTTCGCGATATGATTCTCACGATATCTGTTTTCCATTAGTTTGTAGTATTTATTATTGTGTTGTTTTTGTGCTTTGCTGTCATTCCAGTCAAAGTTCTTCAACTGCAGTGCACACAACATGAGCCCGCCATGAGTTTTTCTATTCATTACAATCTGCAGTGCACATGCTGTCAGCTGCACAATAAATAAGCAATTACAACTAAACCTATGACATCGGTTACTCCGGAAAACTTTTTGTAAAGCACTAATTTAATTGGCGAGAGCTATTTATTTAGAACGTGGTTAAGTGTGCTTTTCATTTTGTATATATTTTGTCAGGAAGTAAAATTTTGATTTGGAATATATTGGCCAAAATAACCACGATGTCACGATACTTTGCATAGTGGGCGATACGATTCTCCGTAGTCCTTGTATCATACGGCATCATAGTATTGGCACACCACAGAAACCCTCGTCAGAAGTAGAGAATGAGAGCAGACGAGAAGGAAACACTGAGTAGCTGAGGAGGGAATGAGAGGATTACATTCGGAGAGAATGAGAAGGCATATACTCGAGAATTAATAGATTAGGAGGGAATGAGTAGATTAACGGGGGAAATTAGGGAAGCGTTTATTAGAAGTACAGAAGTAGGAAGGGGGTGATACCTTTTTCCTCTGAGACTAAGGTAAGTTTTACTACAGCTATCGGTCTTGCATGCGACAAAGGAGAATGGAAATTTCCGAACGTTGAACAATGATCTGTAACGACATGATGATAATAAAGGTCATAAAAATGAAATAACGTGCTGCCCTTTGTCGATTCACTGTCATGCGATGAAACGCCAAGGATCTGTGGCCATCCTTGGATGCACAAGGCCCTGCTCACTGCTTTCCTCTTGGATTCTTCTAACGACTGCTCCATCAATTTCAGTGAATGGAGAGATATATTTGAAAGCGTATGATGTGTAACTTAGGGCAGCGATTATGCCTATCCGTTCTGGCTATTGTGGAAGAGTAGGCCAAAAGACCCTCTAGAGGGGCTGCATTAAAGCTCCCTCTAGTGGAGGCCCTTCTGCCGGCAGGGGTGTGAGCAAGCGGTTGCAGTGCTGCGCCTTCTTTCGGCCCGCAATGCAGTTCCCACGTGCTAGGGGGTAAATGCAGCACCTGGTTACAGCATGCCCGTTATCACCATCTCAGCTGATTGCTGAATTTATCCATATCCCTGCCTGACAATTCTAAACCAAAACACAGAACTCGCATTCACATCAAAGTCTTAAGTAGTTCCCCTCCTGCCACAATGCCATTACGACAGCCGGCACACGAACCAAAGCTATCACTGCAGATGCAATGAACACTGTATTTTAATATTTAACTTTTTATTTTCCCAGGTCAAGCTCACTGAGCTATGTAGCTCTTTTTTTTCGAAGCGAGCTGGCCATAAATGATAGCTCAACGAAGTGGCTTATCAAGTTTGAAATATAAAGCGGCCGATGTGGTGCTCTTAGCACTTCCGATTAGCACGCTTGGCTACACACAGCGCGAAAGAAGTTCAACACATACAAGGAGTGACACGCGTACGACCCTAAAGGGAGATGAACCCGCTTCCATGCCCTTGACACGATTGGTCCTCCAGCACCTATGCTGAGTCACTATCCCAGCAAACATTGCCTTGCATAACCGAGGTCTAACCCGGCCTCCACCCCCCCACACCCAGAACCGTGCCTAAATGATTGAAGGCCTCCAAGGAGGGCCATAATCTTTAAGGGGCATCGCGGTGTCTCAAGACTTAGCATTGCCCTCTTTTTGGTGAAGGGTGGTGTCGCGTTTTATGTCGCGACTTAATGACTCTAACATGTTTTATTGCCGTGTTATTGTGACTGGGTGACCGCGGGGTGACTGGGTGATTGTTGACCTCCTGGGTGGCTGGGTGATTGGGTGACGGGGTTACTGGTTGTTTGTTACTGAAATGACTGGATTGGTTGTGGTGTCGGCTGAATCAGGAGTGTGTGTGGAGTGGAATGTGACTCAGGGTTGTGTGAATTTGAGATGGTTAATATTTTCACTATTTATCCATATGCCCCGTATTTCTCTAATCGATTCGGATAAATTTTGCATGGGGTTCCTGTTTTGAAATGTTTGGTCAATTCCTTACCCGCTGAAATGTGTTCCAGTGGGATGAAATCAGTTTTACTACCCTGGAGAAAATACACATGACACACACACACACACCTTCGATAAGCACTGTTGGCTACCTACGGTGCGAAATAAGTTCCATATCCATACGTACACACCCATGCAATCAGATTCAAAGTCTATTTATTGGGCTGCATTACATTGGCGAAAGAAAAGTTTTTTGTTGTGCAAACGCACCTGTAAAAGTCAACGTTAAGTTACCGTGCGTGCACGCGTGCGTGACGTGAAGAAGGGACTTTGTCCCACCAATAATCCCACTGTCCAGTCCCCTCGCCATATATAAACCCTGGCGACCCATGAGTCCGGAGCGAGAGAAGATCGAGGACAAAGCTTCATCTCAACTTCCAAGGTCTGTTGTGCTTCTTATCGCGGGAGTTCCGTGTCGCGTGCTGCCCCACGTCTGTTCCCATGCTCTCTGGCCTCGTCTGTCTCGTGGCGAATCGTCTGTTGTTGTTTTTCTGTTGGATGTTTTTGAGTGAACCCCGATGACACCCCCGTGTGATACAGAATTCGGCAGGATGCGAATTTTTTGCGTTTTTACGTGGCTCATGTTGACAACATCTTTAACGTGCTCAAATAAAGATGCACATAGCAGTTTTGCGACATCCACCGCGAGATGAGAGCCTCTTCACATCGCGCGGGGGTTGTTTGATCACACGTCACCACGCTCTCCACTGTGGTGGACATGTGCAGTGTAAACGTAGGAGCATAGATAGTATAGTACAACAGATGTTGGCAACACTGCCCTTTGCTACTACACTGCCCTTTGTAGCGTATACGTAGGAGCATAGAAAGTATGGTACAACAGATGTTGGCTACACTGCCCTTTGCTACTACACTTCCCTTTGCAGCGTAAACGTAGGAGCATAGAAAGTATAGTACAACCGATGTCGGCTACACTGCCCTTTGCTACTACGCTTCCCTTTGCAGCGTATACGTCGGAGCATAGAAAGTATGGTACAACAGATGTTGGATACACCGCCCTTTGCTACTACACTGCCCTTTGTAGCGTATACGTAGGAGCATAGAAAGTATGGTACAACAGATGTTGGCTACACTGCCCTTTGCTACTACACTTCCCTTTGCAGCGTAAACGTAGGAGCATAGAAAGTATAGTACAACCGATGTCGGCTACACTGCCCTTTGCTACTACGCTTCCCTTTGCAGCGTATACGTCGGAGCATAGAAAGTATGGTACAACAGATGTTGGCTACACTGCCCTTTGCTACTACACTTCCCTTTGCAGCGTATACGTAGGAGCATAGAAAGTATAGTACAACAGATGTTGGCTACACTGCCCTTTGCTACTACGCTTCCCTTTGCAGCGTATACGTAGGAGCATAGAAAGTATGGTACAACAGATGTTGGCTACACTGCCCTTTGCTACTACACTTCCCTTTGCAGCGTATACGTAGGAGCATAGAAAGTATGGTACAACAGATGTTGGCTACACTGCCCTTTGCTACTACACTGCCCTTTGCAGCGTATACGTAGGAGCATATAAAGTATGGTACAACAGATGTTGGCCACACTGCCCTTTGCTACTACACTGCCCTTTGCAGCGTATACGTAGGAGCTTAGAAAGTATGGTACAACAGATGTTGGCTACACTGCCCTTTGTTACTACACTGCCCTTTGCAGCGTATACGTAGGAGCATAGAAAGTATGGTACAACAGATGTTGGCTACACTGCCCTTTGTTGTGCGGAACTTTGCATCGCTGCACGGCCGCCTTTGACAGCCTGGCGTGCGCGCTGGTCACCCATCCAAGCACGATCCACTAGCCAGGCTCAAACACCGCTTAGCTTACGAGACCTGAGAAGATGTGGGGCATGTTGCGGGTGATCAAGTTCAAGTTCATTTATTAGGTATAGCCCTGTGAGCCATTCGGCTCTTGAATCGGGTGCAACCGCAACAAACAAAAAACAAAAACATGAACAAGAAAACATCTTAAAGTGAATATGTGACTAAGTGCAAACAGAAAATCCAAGAAAAGACAGCAAAATATTGCAGAAAAAACACCGTACACCAACGCTGTGTGCAAACATCCCAGTGGGATGCAAGTCAAGCAACAACAACCACAAGACAACTTAGATTAAGGCCATCAGTCTTACTCCGTACTACAACAGACAAACATGGCCAAACTAGTAAACTTTTCGAAATCACCAAAATAAAGCAATGAAACAGTGATCATAGGAACTGTGACGGAATTTTCACAATAAACGACAAACAACATGTACTACCAAAACCCTGCATGGTGATGATTATGATGATGCCATAGAGATCCATGTATATGAGTGGCTGAAGAAGAATATTGTAACACGTCTCGATCGTATAGACAGTAAAAAATGTGTCACGTTTTTCAAATATATTTATTAAAATTTATTTAAATCTATTTAAGACCGGAAGCAACAGGAGAGCTTCACCATTCTTGCCCGATGAAGCTGATTGTAATTATCAACGAAACGTCGTACTCAAATTTAAAAATGCTGTTGATTCTCTCTTCAGGACACCGGTTGGCTAAATAAGTTAATTATTTTGTCCTTTAAAAAACCTGACACATTTTTTACTGTTTGGCCGTGTCGGGTGGTGGAGGGTTACGACACATTTACAAATAACGCGATCTGACCCAAAAAACCTATATTATGAATAATATTGGTCACGAAAGCCTGCGTGTTAAAATACACATGTGACATGTTTGTATACAAACACCTGCGTGCAAACACAACACGCGTAACACACCTGCGCACAGGTACCTGTGTGCGTATGCAAATACCTGCACCACATGTTGCATGAACTACAAAACACCTGCACACACACACACCACATGCAGCACATCTGCGTCTCGGTAAGGCGGCCACTTGCCCGCGGCCCCACGATCTCATCTCATTATTGACCCCCGGAATGACCTCCCCCATGCTCCTTGACACCCCCAGGAGCCCTTGGAGCCTCCAGGATGGATGTCGAGATGAAGGGGTCAGACTCGAGCCAGGAGATGCAGGGCTCCGTGCTCAGTTTCCACGACATCGGCTACAGCGTCACCCTGTCTAGTGGCCCTCCCTGGCATCGCTCGTCCCAACGCAAGGACATCCTGGTGAACGTGAGGTGAGGCGGACTAAGGCTGGGGCACGCCCGGATGGATGTCAGCGAACGGGGCAGTATTCCTGCCATCGCTTCTGCTCCGATTTCTATCCGATGGTTTGTTTTTCCCCCGCTCGGATTTATAATCGCTTCATTGTTGTTGTACCAGTTTTTATGTTATTGTTGTACCAGTTGTTGAACCAGCTTTTTTAAATGTAATTGCTTTTTTAATATTGGTGACCCAGGTCAGACCATCCTTGCTTCTTGAGTTATCACCTTGTTAAACAAAACAACCTTGAACCCCTTCCGATTTAGGGGGAGGCTGCTGGTTTGTATTTATATATATAAAAAAGCTCAAATACATGTTTAACTAAAATGTTCTAAAGCAACACGAATGGCTTAAAGCATTCGTGACTGCGGGAATTCATATTCTTGGGTCTTTCGGTAAAGTCACGTAGATAGGTTCAAAGAAAATAATCAAAAATAACAAAACAAACTACGACGTTTCAATCGCAACACAAGCGGCCGTCTTCAGAAAGACGTCGTAGTTTTCTGTTATTTTTTCTTTTTTCTTTGAACCTATCTACGTAACTTTACCGAAAGAGCCAAGAATATCAACACGAATGGCTTTGAAAAATCAGTATGCGGCAACAGAATTCCAAAATTATCGCCTCTTCTTCCACGCGTCTGTCCCACTCATGCAGGTGTTCGGCTGTACTTGCCAACCATCTCCACTCTGCCCCGTCTCCACGCTGCCCCGTCTCCACGCTGCCCCGTCTCCACGCTCTCCCTGTCTCCACGCTGCCCCGTCTCCACGCTCTCCCTGTCTCCACGCTGCCCTGTCTCCACGCTGCCCTGTCTCCACGCTCTCCCTGTCTCCACGCTCTCCCTGTCTCCACGCTCTCCCTGTCTCCACGCTGCCCCGTCTCCACGCTGCCCTGTCTCCACGCTCTCCCTGCTCTCCCTGTCTCCACGCTGCCCTGTCTCCACGCTCTCCCTGTCTCCACGCTGCCCTGTCTCCACGTTCTCCCTGTCTCCACGCTGCGCTGTCTCCACGCTGCCCTGTCTCCACGCTCTCCCTGTCTCCACGCTGCCCTATCTCCACGCTGCCCTGTCTCCACGCTCTCCCTGTCTCCACGCTGCCCCGTCTCCACGCTGCCCCGTCTCCACGCTCTCCCTGTCTCCACGCTGCCCCGTCTCCACGCTGCCCTGTCTCCACGCTCTCCCTGTCTCCACGCTGCCCTGTCTCCACGCTCTCCCTGTCTCCACGCTGCCCTGTCTCCACGCTCTCCCTGTCTCCACGCTGCCCTATCTCCACGCTGCCCTGTCTCCACGCTCTCCCTGTCTCCACGCTGCCCTGTCTCCACGCTGCCCTGTCTCCACGTTCTCCCTGTCTCCACGCTGCGCTGTCTCCACGCTGCCCTGTCTCCACGCTCTCCTTGTCTCCACGCTGCCCTATCTCCACGCTGCCCTGTCTCCACGCTCTCCCTGTCTCCACGCTGCCCCGTCTCCACGCTGCCCCGTCTCCACGCTCTCCCTGTCTCCACGCTGCCCCGTCTCCACGCTGCCCTGTCTCCACGCTCTCCCTGTCTCCACGCTGCCCTGTCTCCACGCTCTCCCTGTCTCCACGCTGCCCTGTCTCCACGCTCTCCCTGTCTCCACGCTGCCCTATCTCCACGCTGCCCTGTCTCCACGCTCTCCCTGTCTCCACGCTGCCCCGTCTCCACGCTGCCCCGTCTCCACGCTCTCCCTGTCTCCACGCTGCCCCGTCTCCACGCTCTCCCTGTCTCCACGCTCTCCCTGTCTCCACGCTGCCCTGTCTCCACGCTGCCCTGTCCTGTGCCATCTCTCTTTCCGCTCCTCTGGCCACCGTGTCCGATCGCACCCCCCCCCACCTCTTCTTCTCCCATCCTCTTCTTGATCTCTTTCCTTCCACTTGCATCACTTGCCACCTTCTGACTCGCATCATTTTCCTGTTGTCTCTCAACATGACCGATCATTTAAAAATAATCTGCCTACCGCCCAACACTGTCCGATAGTTACAATTACTCGTCTCTAGAGGGCAGCCCGACCTATGGAAAGGGTGAATATACCCCGTCGACCCGCTTCCCCACTCAACATGCAAACGTTGAACCAACGTTCCATGTTGCCTGGGCCCCTCCTTGTTTGACCTCTCCTGTGATGGTCTCCCCCTTTCACTTCGTGGCCTCGAAGTAACGCGATCGGATATACCTGTGTCCTGTACATACATATAGAGCGGTGGACAAAGCCAATCGGCCTGGGTTGTGATGAGCTCCAACTCCCAGTGCCGGATTAAGCTCATGTGGGGCCTGTAGCATATGCTATACTGGTAGGAACCTCCTGGTTACACCAGCCCACAGGGGATTATTGTGTCCGTCCGTCCGTCGTACAGCTATACTGCTATACACTACACTATACACGACTCTATACACTACTACATACGTTCAACCCCTTACAGTATCAGTGTCTACCTTATTACAGACCAATTCAGAACTTATTGGTCACCCCGTGTCCTTATAAATCTCCACGTTCATCCTACAAAGTCCCACCACAAGGAAGAAACAGACACATTTTTTTTCATTTTTCCCGTATTGAAACGGCTGTACACAATATGGACATGAAAACTTAATTTTCCAGCACAAGCATACAGGGTTAAACCGTGTGGGTTCACAGCGATGCATACCAGACAGAAGTGCCCGGGCCTACAAGAACCTGAAACCGGCCCCAATTGCTACCATGCATATTTTTATTTCGTGACAATTTGTAGATTTAACCTTCGCCGAAGTGTGCTTAAGTCAGACCATCTTGACTTCCACGAAACGGTGAACAGAAAAAAATAATACAGAGGCATTTTAGTCAATGAGCACCCAGATCTTAATAATTAACACAGTCAAAGGCTGGAGGCCCGACACGCGCCCTCCCCTCTTGCCTAAACCGGCCCAGCCCAGGGCACTCGGCAAACTATGTTATCCAAAGGTGCCCTTCTGGCCACACGAGTTAAATGAAGTCTCGATGATCCGCCCTAATGACGAGGACGGCCACGGATGATTCAAAATCGTGGATAATCCAAAACTGTAAAGTTAAGGTAATGGAGTTGCTCAGTGATACAACTGTCTGTGTTTAACATTTACACAGTACACTGCTTACATGGCCAAGTTATCCCTTGGTCTCCACGAGCTCTCACCTGGTCTAAATAAAGGTTCTGTTTGTGTGTCTGCGTGCGTTTCCCAACAGTGGCCTCATGAGGCCAGGAATGAATGCCATCTTGGGACCGACCGGCAGTGGAAAATCTTCGTGAGTGAAACTGCGAACGCTCCGTTACTTTGCGTACATCTCCTTCGTAAGTGGAAAATTACAGCCATCGCCACAGGAGGCTGGTCGTGGCCACATGACCCAAACTATGGACTATATAACTGAACAATTGTAGTCTGCGCTCCTTTGAATGCATTAAGCTCCTGGACAAATTGCAATGCGCAAGAATAGAATGAATACAAAAAGGCACCTTCATGGGTGTCCAGGTGATTAAACCTATTAAGATCCTGCAGTAATGTAGACCCTGGGAGCAAGATTTTGTCAGTACAATGCTGGATGAGGGCCTCGCCACACCGCCAGGATAATGGGAGTTATGCCAAACTTCACCGATCGTGCACACGCTGGTCACTGCGGGGTTGTGAAGGTGGGGTGCACAGATGGAGCATAGTACAGAATCACAATGGATTTTGCATGCCAGCCCTCTGCTGCTGTGGATGCTGTCATCCACATTGCTGTATGAGCGCCGTGGTGGTGAGATGTTAACTCCCTTGCCTGGTATGGTGGAGGTTGTGGGTTGCATCACGACCTTGACGCCTGTTTATTTGGAGTTTGCGTGTCTCTCTCCTCGTGGTCGCGTGGATTTTTCTCCGGATCCTCCGGTTTTTCCCTCCACATTTAGAAACACGCATTTCAATTATTTGTCTGATACATTTCCACATGATAAACCACTTCGTTGAGCTATCATTTTCCATAGCCAGGTCGCTTGTGAAAAATATCTATATAGCTCAGTGGTCCTTACCCGATAAAATAATGCGTAGTTTAGTTTTTTAGTTTGATTCTATAGATGTATGCACTTTAAGCTTCTATTACACCGTAACCAACCGTGCTAATCGGAGGTGCGATTGCTGATGCCACTGCTCCCCGCTACTGCTGCTGCTGCAGGAGATGCTGCCGATGTCGCCCCTGCCACGATAGATGCTGCCGTAGCTTCAGCCTGTGTAACGACTCCGACGACAAAGTAATATGAAGGGCCACTCTTATTTAAATAACCCTACTAAAGACTTTACACAATAAGGGACCCGAGGCTTCGTTCTTGTCTTCCCGCTTGTATCTTCCTCCGAGCGTCCCCACTCCTCGTGCTCTCCCCTTATATCTCCCTCGGCCCCCTTTCTCGAACCTTCTCGTCCTTGTTTTTACCTTTAGCCAATTCATGTCCGTTCCGTTTAGCGGATCCTTTCCGCATTCCCTTTCAACCCCTTATTCTGCAATCCCTTTAAAAGTTTGCCTCCCGACCAACCACCATGGAGGCTTCTTTCTTCCAATCGGAGACCGTTTGTTTATTTTTAAATGGCCGTTCGGCTGCATATGGCTTGGGGTAATTTTTCGGTCATTACGCTTGTATGGCCTCGCTGCTCTCTGCGTGCTCAGGCTGCTCGATGTGCTGGCCGATCGGAAAGACCCCTCGGGGCTCACGGGCGAGGTGCTGCTCAACGGGGACCCCCTGCCACACGACTTCAAGTTCATATCGGGATACGTGGTGCAGGTGAGGGAGACGCCCTACATCAGGGGGTGGCCAACCTGTAACAGACCAAGAGCCATAGAGTACCCATGAGTGTCGCAAAGAGCCACGTGTACATAGATATAAGTGTATATCCATAATAGAGGTTTTTGGGTTAGATCGCATGAATATAAATGTGTTTGTTAAGCCCGCCACCAACCGACACGGCCAATTAGTAAGGTTTGTCACGTAAACAGAACATGCCAATTCGCGACGCGCTAACCGCTACACTCCCGCCCCCACACCTACCCACACCCCACACCTCAGATTAGCACGGTTGGCTACGTATGGTGCGAAAGAAGTTCAACATACATACATAGTTACATACACACACATCTTTACACATAAACACAAAATCGCAGAAATAAACCACTGCTACTGCCGCCCCTACTGCTGAATGCCACTCCTGTTGTTGCTGCTGCTGCCCGGTGCCGCAGGACGATGTGGTTATGGGCAGCCTGACCGTGAGAGAGAATTTCCAGTTCTCGGCCGCGCTGCGTCTCCCGACGTCTGTGAGCCACACGGAGAAGGAGCAGCGCGTGGAGAGAATCATCTCGGAGTTGGGACTCACCAAGGTGGCCGACTCCAAGGTCTGTGTCACCCACGGGGATCCGCCACAATGTCCACCACGTGTTGCCCGAGGTGCCAACCGCAATGTCTACCGCACCGCCGAGACGATGCTCGCGATTGGTGCGGTGTCATCCAACTCATCAACCCACGTTTCCACTCCCAGTGTCAACCTTGCGTCACCAACGGGATGTCACCCACGTGTCACCCGGGGTCCCACCCACGTGCCACCCACGTGTCACCACACGCGTCAGCCGCGTGTAACACACGCACGTTACCGGCCGGTCTCAGCCAGCTGTCACGTTGTCACCCACGTTGTCACCCATGACTTCGCGACGTTGCACGGGATGGCGCGACATCACCCGCTGCTGTCACCCGCTGCTGTCACCCGCTGCTGTCACCACATGTTGTCCACCCTCCCCGCGCCCCCCACCGGTCGTCAGGTGGGCACGGAGCTGGTGCGGGGCGTGTCGGGCGGGGAGCGCAAGCGAACGAACATCGGCATGGAGCTCATCACGGATCCCTCTGTGCTCTTCCTGGACGAGCCGACCACGGGACTTGACTCCAGCACCGCCAGCGCCGTGCTGCTGCTGCTGCGCCGGTGAGACTCCATCCCACGCCGGGGGTTGCCTCCACGAGGATGGCTGTTGTCGGGCGCAGGTCCCGGTGTGTCCCAGGTCGAGTCTGGGTGTCTCGGCCTCGCTGTGCGCTGCGTTGCATCACTATCTGAGTAGTTAACCTCGCATTCAATAAACCTTCAGAGCCAGGGTGAACATTCGACTCCAACGTATTTAATGAATGAAACGAGGTAAAACTTATGGAAAAACACAGCACAAAAAACAGAATCTGTTAATACTTGAAATATCAATACAATGAATGAACACTGCAGCATCATCACATTGTCTTCGATAACATGAATCTTAACAATAGGTCCTGGATGGACCAGGCACCTACATTAGCACTGAATAGCTATACAACATGATAATAAGCGACTGTGTTAAATAAGGTCACTTTGTGTAATCACCATACTGCAGCCTAAATGCACAGTGCTGCATATAACACTGAACTGTGGATGAGATATTTCTTCATCCTTGCTCTCAAAAACGCATTAACCTATCTACGTGACTTTACGGAAAGACCCAAAGAATATAACATTCACAATAATGCAAGTGGCAGTCTTCGTTCTTAACTAGGCCCCATATTCATCATAACAATTTAACAGCATTATAAAGGCATTTACAGCATTATAACGGCAATCCTAACATTATAACAGCATTCTCAGTATTATAAGAACATAAACAAACTGCAGACAACGCTTCTTAAGTCCTGCAATGAACAGATGCACCCATCTTAACTGAGACGTGAATTGTGCCTCCATTTTGTACTCTATGGAAAATGGCTGACACCCCTGCCTGGCCTCGTGACTTAAAGACCCTTAACTCGTAATTTCCTGGTCACGTGACCAAACTCAAAACCGTCATATCAGAAAGTCCCTGTGTAAACATACCCCCATATCTGCCGTGGGGCAGAACACCCGGTGTTGTCGGAGGAGAGTCCGGGTGTCCACATGTGGAGTACGGGTGTTGTCGGGGAGAGCCCGGGTGTACACATGTGGACTCCGGGTGTTGTTGGGCAAAGTTTGGGAGTCCGGGTGTTGTCCTCTTGTCCGCTCGCCCGCCCTGCGAGTCGCGGTCTCTCGCTCGCCGTGACTCGACTCTGGCCTGCAGGCTCTCCCGCCGCGGCCGCACCATCATCTTCTCCATCCACCAGCCGCGCTACTCCATCTTCCGCCTGTTTGACAGCCTCACGCTGCTTGTGAGCGGCCACACGGTGTACCACGGCCCCTCGTCGAAGGCCATCATTTACTTCAAGTCCATCGGTGGGTGGGCGGTTGGGTGGGCGGTTGGTTGGGTAGGCGAGTGGGTGGTTGGTTGGGTGGGCCACAATTATTGTAGACATCTCCAAATGGAGGGTTGATGACCATTGCCTTTGTAATGGCTGTGATGATGACCGTAATAATGTCAACAATAACATGACAATGATGAGTGATGATGATAATAATGATGATCAAGATGTTGATGTCTTTGATGATGATGAGAATATTGATGGTGATAATTATCATGATGACGATAATGACGATGATGATGATGATGTGAGTCAGGCTACGAGTGTGAGCCGTTCAACAACCCGGCCGACTTCTTCCTGGACGTTCTCAACGGAGACTCCACGGCGGTGATGGCAACTGCAGACACGGCCGTCGACACCGGTTGGTCACATCACCCACATCGTCACATCAACACATCGCCCACATCAGCCACGTCACCCACATCACCCCCATCGTCACATCAACACATTGCCCACATCGTCACATCAACACATCGCCCACATCGTCACATCGACGCGTCACCCACATCGCCCACATCATCCTTACCTGATCAAATAAAACAAGAAAAAGGTCGTGCGACATCGCCGTAACCGCTCACCCAGCAGACGCGGCAGCGGGCGCCGGCTCCGTGTGCAAGCACCTCGCCGAGAGCTACGCGGCGTCGTTCTTCTGCCGGGACGCGGAGTCCGCCCTGCGCGCCATCGAGCTCCGGGGCTCGGAGTCGCACGGCGGAGACGGAGGCGACGGCAAGAAGAGGAAGGGGAGGGTGGGTCGCGCGCTGGCGAGGGACAAGTGCGCCACCTCGTTCCTGCACCAGTTCGCGTGGCTCAGCAAGCGCAACGTGAAGAACCTCATCGGAAACCCGCAGGCCTCGCTGGCGCAGGTGAAGTCGTGCGGTCAGGGGAGGCAGGGGAGGCAGCGCCTCACCTGTTATACTCCAATGAAAATAGCGGTTACGAAAAGTAAAAAAAAAGAATAATCAAATAAAATTAATATTAAGATTTTTCCACTGATCTGTGTTGTAAATGTAATTTCTGTACGACGCCAATAATTTTTATAGTCAAAATCGCCAAATTTGCGGAGCTCCGCTGCAAATACAGGAAGAGACGAGAGGTGAGGCAGCGATGAGCTCAGCCTCCCCTCTGATTGCGCAACCCTTCAGTAACTGAATGGAGCGCGGGCAATAAGCGCGTGCCTGTTACTATCTCAGTATGTCACCAATGTAATGTTTGTAGACCCCTTCATTCCATGTCCTCGCCTTCCATACTCCAGGTAACTTATTTCACGTACTGTATGTGTATAAAGATATTTAGGCTCGCTGGTCTCGTGATGAAACTGCAATGAAAAAGCACCAGGGGAGGCAGCTATCACATCTGCCTCACCGAGGCGAACGTGTCTAACACGCCCCCTCAGTGAGGACACGCCCCTCAGTGAGGCCACGCCCCCCTCAGTGTGTGAATCTGGCTCTGACACTCGTCAGTGCCTCCCCAGCCATTGACCTCACGGCACATCATTGGTTTGGGGGGGGCATCGGCGGGGGGCATCGGGGGGGGGGGGGCACCCTTACTCAGTGCCCAGCCTCAGCCGCAACGGTGCCGAATGCCGCTCCGGAGAATGGTGTTGGCTCGCCTCTTGTCCTTCTTTGGGAGACTGGGCTGGTGCGTTGTGTGGTGCGTGGGGTGTGATGTGGTTTGGTGGTGCGTGGGGCGTGGTGCGTGGGATATGGTGGGGAGTGGTGGTGCGTGGGTTTTGGGGGTGCGCGTGGTGTTGGTAACCTGCATATGTAAGAATATAGAGTACATAAAATGTAATTCCTATGTTTCCGACTTCCTCGATCTTGTCCCGATGATGCTTGACGTCAAGCCAAACGCCGTTGAACTAATCGCGCAACTCTGTTCCTCGACAATTCTTCTCCAACTCACCGGCGCGGGCTGCGGCGGTGATAATCGGCGCGCTGGACGCTCGCCCGCCACGCGACAGATAATTACGCGGCCTAATAACCCTCCCACCCCCCCCCCCCAAAAAAAAACACAATTATGCGACTATAATATAGGGTTAGGATTATCATGGATAGGCGTGCCTTGTAACTCTAGCGGGCAGTGCCGTACGTCCATAAATCCTCGCTCCAAGGCATCCCGGCAGCGTTGCGGAGCACGTCGAGTGAGACCTCAAATCCCCAGGGGGGGGGGGGGGTCTCCGCTTGCCTCCTAGTCTCACCGTGAGCTCTAACGTCGCTCTCCCCGCCGCTCACTGCCGCCGTTTCGCTGGCGACACCGCAGGTCGTGGTGACGTTGGTGCTGGGGCTCGTGGTGGGAGCGCTCTTCTTCGACGCGAAGCTGGACAACGCGGGCATCCAGAACCGGTGAGCGCCGTCCAGCGGGCCCGGCGGTCAAAGCTGCCCATCGGACGAGCGAACGCCGTTGGTTGATAAGCCACAGGGCGATGGTGGGCCAAGACGATTTCCCAACCGGGAATTGAACTCGTGACCTGTCCCAATACCCCCCGAGTCTCCATGCCCTGAAGTGGCAACGCCAGCCTTGCCCTCTCGTCTAAATGTCCCACCGGTCCCAATGCCCCCCCATGTCTCAATTCCACCAACTCTCAATGCAACGTATCTCAATGCCCCATACTGCCGTGTCTCAATGCCTTCCTCCCCACCCCGTGTCTCCCAGGATGGGCTCGCTGTTCTTCATGATCACGAACCAGATGTTCGGGAGTCTCTCAGCCATCGAGCTGTTCGTCCGAGAGCACAAGATCTTCATGTGAGTCGGGGGCACAGAGACACACGAGGGTGGGGGGAGGGGGGGGATGGTGGTGAGCGCGGTATGGTGGTGGCACTCACAATGATGATGCTGCTGATGCCGATGATGCTGATTATAATGTTGATGATGCCGATGTTGATGATGCCGATGCTGATGATGCCGATGCTGCTGATGTCTATGATGCTGATGATGCTGATTATGATGCTGATGATGTCGATGCTGATGATGCTGGTGATGATGCTGGTGATGATGCTGATGATGTTGGTGATGATGCTGGTGATGATGCTGATGAGAATTCCGCCGACGATGACGACGACGCCCTGTGCGCAGCCACGAGTACGTGAGCGGGTACTACCGCGTGTCCGCGTACTTCTTCTCCAAGATTCTCTCCGACCTCATCCCCATGCGCACGATCCCCGGCATCATCTTCTCCTGCGTCACCTTCTGGATGATCGGTAGGGCTCCCTCGCTCCTTCGCTCGCTCACTCGCTCGTTCAACCAAGTCATTCGTTTCTCCACCCGGTAACGTGTGTGTGTCGTGATGACAAAAAAAGGGCCTTCCGGCAATTATGTGGCCGATTATTTTTCTGGAATTTTGATACCGGCGAAAAAAAAAACGGTCTTGTAGAAATGTGTGTCATGTATGAATATGTGCGATCCAGTCTTCTGTGACCAGGTGACGCACATGCCACGTGCTTGACCAGGTTACGTGTGCGTGTCACATATGACCGTGTCGCGTGTTCCGCGTCCCGGGGTTCCAGGAGGAACAAGTTGATGACTGCGCGTGTCACGTGCGCGTCACGAGTGAGTCACGCGCGTGTCACGCTTGTGTCTCGTGCGCCAGGATTCCAGGCGCGAGTGGACAAGTTCTTCATCTACATGCTCACGGTGGTGATGACCGCATACGGCGCCGTGAGCCTGGCTCTCGCCGTGAGCGCTGGCACCAGCGTTGTAGCCGTTGCCAACGTCTTCATCACCGTCTGCTTCATCTTCATGATTGTACGCCCCGCTCGCTCGCTCACCCACCCGCTCAATCACTTACCCGCTCGATCACTCACTCACTTACTCACCTGCACACTCGATCACTCAACCCACCTGCCCACTCAATCACTCATCTGCTCGATCACTCACTCACCTGCATACTGCTCGATCACTCACTCACCCACTCGATCACTCACTCACCTGCATACTCGCTCACTCACCCACATACTCGCTCACTCACCCGCATACTCGCTCACTCACCCACTCAATCACTCCCTCATTCACCCGCATACATGATCACTCACCCGTTCGATCACTCACTTGATCACTGACCTGCTCGATCACTCACTCACTCACCTGCACACAAGATTCGTCAAGAAAATAATTGTTAGCATTTGTCACCCAGGGTGGGTAACAAATGGGAAACGTTTTGGGCCACTGGCTCAAGGTCGAACGCCTGACATCGCACGTTCACGCTCCTTGCTCCGTGCGACCCCACAGCTTTTCTCCGGGTTCCTGGTGAACCTGCCCAGCGTCATGTCGTGGCTGAGCTGGCTGCAGTATCTGAGCATCCCTGGCTACGGATTCACGGTGAGTGCGGCACCAGGCGGTGGCACCAGCGATCGGTCGCGCTCGCGGACCTCAGAAGCTGGCGACTGAACTGCTCTCCGTGTTCCGTCAAGCGCGCTTGATGGAACAACTTTACTCCTGTCGGTTCCAAACGCGTTGTACAGCGTGTACACGAAACACAGGGAATGGCTTTAAAAGTTTATAATCTCCTATCGATGTAGATGCCACTGATTCATGTTCTACAGATGTAGATGCCACTGGTTCTTCACGTTCTGCAGATGTAGATGTCACTGGTTCTTCATATTATGTAGATGTAGATGCCACTGGTTCTTCACGTTCTGCAGATGTAGATGCCACTGGTTCTTCACGTTCTGCAGATTTAGATGCCACTGGTTCTTCACGTTCTGCAGATATAGATGCCACTGGTTCTTCATATTCTGTAGATGTAGATGCCACTGGTTCTTCACGTTCTGCAGATGTAGATGCCACTGGTTCTTCACGTTCTGCAGATATAGATGCCACTGGTTCTTCGTGTTCTGCAGATGTAGATGCCACTGATTCTTCATGTTCTGCAGATGTAGATGCCACTGATTCTTCATGTTCTGCAGATGTAGATGCCACTGGTTCTTCATGTTCGGCAGATGTAGATGCTACTGGTTCTTCGTGTTCTGCAGATGTAGATGCCACTGGTTCTTCACGTTCTGCAGATGGAGATGGCACTGGTTCTTCTTCAGTGGCATCTACATCTGCAGAACATGAAGAACCAGTGGCATCTACATCTGCAGAACGTGAAGAATCAGTGGCATCTTACGACTTTCGGCCCGAACAGGCAACTTGGACATACGGACAGGATTATTTGTATCTCTGAAGGGTCGTAAGTCGAACCTTCATAGGTAGAGGAGTCCCCGTATTCCAAATCCTCACATCTGCAACAGTCCCACGGACCACTAAACAGCGGCCGTGCGGGATAGGGTCGCCAGCTGTCAGCGGTTTGACCCGAACAGTCGGGGAATTTGACATCCGTTCTTTGGGTGGCAGCAATGGATTCACACCGAGATGCGGTGACTGGCACCGGCGTTGTGTCGATCTTCGTTACGGAACAACAGACGTGTAGGGCGGACTGAGAAACATGGGCCGTCCGTGTAAGTGTTCGCCGTTGTAACTTTGCCGACCCGACCACACGGGACACCTGCGAACAAGAGCTTCATAGCTCATCGGATTCCTCCTTCCAGCCCAGTGTGTGCTCGAGTGTGCTGCGATCTATTGCTGGACGATGTTCGAATTTGTCTCTGTCATTTTTGGTCGACCCAGGCCGCCCTTGTAAGTGAGACCGCGCTGGTCCGTTCACGCAAAAGAAGCGCGACCTTCACTGTCCCCCACGCGATGCGATCGGCAATGTCACGGCGGCGCCACGATCATCATGAGGTCAGCTGCCCACAACAGCCGTCGTCACCCCCCCCCCCCTAATCTCATCGTCAGGGCCTCCTCATTAACGAGTTCACGGGACTCGAGTTCCTGTGCCGGGGAGGAGAGAACGCCACGGAGCCCGAGCAGTGCCCACCAAACTCCAGCGTCCCGCTCGGCCCCGTGTGAGTACCCCAGCAGCGGAAACAGCATGACGGTGACGGCGACAGCAACAGCCGAGACGACGAGAGACAGACGAGCCCTCGCCATTCCCTAGCAAGCCCCGCCCATCACCTCCCGTCCAGCGGCACGCGTCGGGAACAGATGCGAGGCATTTTATCGCGACGACGTTCACGCGACACGATTGGCCACCGATCAATCGGCAGAGTCATCGACGGCTTCAATGCGCGTGGAACTTCTTTCGCGCCGTACGTAGCCAAGCGCGCTAATCCGCCGAGAGCCCAGCTCTCACGAGCGTGCCCTTTAGTTACCCCGCAGAGCGCAGTGTGACAAACTCCATCGTTGTACTGTACGTCTGTGCTCCCCACCTCCAAAAAAAAGCCGCACTGACCAGCCTGGTGAAGTATGGTCAAACAATCCCCACGACCCGCACGGTGACCATCCGACAAGGTCGGGGCTACTGGGGGATGAGTGGTGGTCGCGATAGGGGCGGCGGCGTTGGCGATGGTGGTGTCGTTGACATTGATTGCGTTAGGAGTGGTGGTAGCAGTCGTGGTGATGGTGTTTGCGGTGGGCTTTGAGAGCCGTATGGGAGGTGGTGGGGCCGGAGGCATTGGCAATGTTGGTGTTGATAGCATTGGTAGTGGTAGTGGTGGAAGCAGCAGTGGTAGCTGTCGTGGTGTCGTTGGCGGTGTTGTTGGTGATGATGGCGTTGGTGATGCGGTAGCGGCGACGACATGAGTGGTGGTCGTGGTCGCGGTGTGGTTCATGGCGACGGCAGTTGACGGCGGTGCACTGTGACCCCCGTGGTGACCCCCGTGGTGACCCCTGCGGTGACCCCACGTAGGTGCACGGGGGCGGAGCAACTGTGCCGCCTGGGCATCAGGACGGACTCGTGGAGCCTCTGGAAGAACCACGTGGCGCTGGGCGGCATGATCCTCATCCTGCTCACCATCGCCTACCTCCGCCTGCGCTTTGTGCGCAAGTACACGTGACCGCCCGCTCACCCGTCTACTCACCCGTCTACTCACCCACCTGCTCACCCACCTGCTCACCCGTCTACTCACCCACCCACTCACCCACCAGTTCACCAGCCTACTCACCTGCCCGCTCACCCGTCTACTCACACGCCCACTCACGAGTCTACTCACCCACCCGCTCACCCGTCTACTCACCGGTCTACTCACCCACCCGCTCACCCGTCCACTCACCTGTCCACTCACCTGCCCGCTCACCAACCCGCTCACCAGTCTACTCACCCACCAGTTCACCCGCCCACCTACCCACTCACCCACCCACCCACCCACTCACCCACCCGCCCACTCACCCGCCCACTCACCCGTCTACTTCCTCAACACGCTCTCCCAACGATCCACATGCCACAGAGAAGCATGGCGTTTGTATCAAATGATAAACGCCACATATAAACGCCATAATTGTGCGTACGTGCGTATGTACCGTGTATATATACGGGAGAGCGAGGAGTGTACGCAATGTATCTCTCACGAGATCACCGCTGCGTTTGTTGTTTGCTGATGAGCTCGAAGCGCGAGGGCCGTTTGTCATCAGCGTCGTTTTCGTCGCACAAAAGGGGGGCGATCGCGAAGGTGCCGCATTTCGCACGGGAGCAGGGACGCCGCGGTGGCGAGGAGACGTCAACGACCTCGCCTGGTGTGCAAGAGGTCGCGAGTTTAAACCCAACCCTGACGCCTGCCTGTATATTTGGAGTTGGCACGTTCTCCCCGTGGACACGTGGATTTTTCTCCGGGTCCTCCGGTTTTTCCCTCCACGTTTAGAATGACGCGTTTAAAGTATTTGGCTCCTATCAATGTCCACGCGATAAGCCACTTCGTTGGGCTATCATATGTGATAGCCAGGTCGCTTCTGAAAAAGAGCTATGCAGGTCTGTGGGCCTTACCTGGTAAATTAAAAATTAGTTAAATAGTTAATAAGAGCCTGCAAATTGAGGAACTTACCAACGTTGGACCAGGATGCCGGCACGCATGTGTAATGTGAGGTTATATCCGGGTCGTTGACGGATTACAACTCATCACGATGATTGGCTCTGGCGGTCCTGGTCCATAGCCAATGGGGGGAAGCCTAGGGGTGTGGTTCTGACGTAATGGAAAGGTGACAGCTGTTTATAGAGGATTGGTTCTGCTGGCTTTAGCCACAGCCAATGGGGAGACGAGTCAGGGGCGTGGTCCCGGGAGCCAACGGTGGAGTCTGGAAGATTCCATAGAGGCTAACCAGGATTGGTGGAAACGTACCACGTGACCCGGGTATTAAATAGGGGTGGAGACGAACAACACGTGGTCAGAACTGGAACAAACGAGGGGGAGATGCCACGCGAGAGCGGGGGTCCAGGCTGCCACGTGGTCCAGGCTGCCACGTGGTCCAGGCTGCCACGTGGCTGCGCGCGTCTCTCTCTTTCTATCCCTCTCACGCTGTCTGTCAGCAGCGTGAAGGAGTGTTGTAATGAACGACGAATAAAGACCGGATTCCAGAAGTCGCTTCAACGACCTTTATTACACATGGACGACTGATCTTTAACAACTGCCGTGGTCAATACACGCCACATGTATTCAACATTGTGGCTGATGATGCTGTGTGCGACGATGATGACGTCACACCACAGTATTAACCAGGGCGGCCGCCACTGGTCTCGGCGAGCGCGCCACCGCCCGGGCCGCGTCACTTCAAAGACCGGCAACGAGACGACAATCGGTGAATCCCCACCGTTTAATCACGAACGGCGCAAGCGGAGAGCAAAGCAAAACATTTACATACTCACAAGCCACGCGGGGCCAACAATTAAAAAAAAAATGTATAATCTTCAATTAAAAAAATCTATATCGACGGATAAAAAAAAAAAACGATTTCAACTCCGGCCAAAGAATAGGATGACCGGCGGCGTCGTCGGCAGCAGCATCGTTGGTGGTGGAGTCAGCGGGGGGCAGTGGTGGCAGAGGGGGGGGAGCTGTGGGGGTGGGGGGGGTGGCCTGTGGATCGGCGTGAGAGGCAGCCGAGTCTCGCGACTCTGTTTCCAGGAGGATCCTGCCAAGTTTTCGTAGCGGGAGGGGGCGATGCTGCTGCTGCTGCTGCGTAAACCCAACTAGGTAGTGTGCGGGGAACGTTTCAGCCTTAGGATGTTTTGGCCACTGCCAGTTGCATTGTGCAAGCTTTTTTAGTTTGTATCCACGGGTAGAAATTGGAGAACCCAGAGGAAACCCACACAGAATGCAGCGGGAGAACATACAAACTACACAGAGGCACCCCAATAGGAAACCCAACCCAGGTACTTCTTGCTGTGAGGCACAAGCGTTACCTCCGCGTGACCGCCCTGCCCGCTAGCAACTATCGTCTCACCACCGAAGACTAAACAGTGAACCCAATAGACTCACCGACTCGCTCATTTAACCCATGGATTCTCAATACAGTGCAACAACGTGGACAAAGTATGATAATTGGTTTTTTACCCTTTTATTTGGCAACAAAACTGACATCTTTTTTACAAGGAGTCATGTTTGCATTGACTACAATATCTGTGGTCAGAATGCAAAAAAAAACACAACTCTGATAATGTATCCACTGTTTTTGAAATTGATTGGTCCACACCCGAGACAGCTTTTCTTAGAGCCTAGTCTCACATGGTGTTGGACCAGATGATGCCAAAAGGCACACAACTCAAAAACAATGCACCATCAGAGTATGAGAGCTCGGGGTAAGCATTTGCACCATTGGAACCTCCTTTGCCAGTAGCAAAATATGATAATTGTTTTTTTACCCTTTTATCTGGCAACAAAACTGACAACTTTTTTACAAGGAGTCATGTTTGCATTGACCACAATATCTGTGATCGGAATGCAAACAAAAAACACAACTCTGATAATATATGCACTGTCCTTGAAATTGATTGGTCCACACCCGAGACAGCTTTTCTGGTGTTGGACCAGATGACACCAAAAGGCGCACAACTCAAAAATAATGCACCATCAGAGTATGAGAGCTCGGGGTAAGCATTTAAAAAAGGTGTCAGTTTTGTTGCCAGATAAAAGGGTAAAAAAACAATTATCACATTTTGCTACTGGCAAAGGAGGTTCCAATGGTGTGGACAAAATACTTTGTTAGTTACCAAGGCTTGGACCAGAATCTGAATCTTTATTTATCCTGGAGAAATCCAGTGAGCTATTAAGTTTTTTTTCACAGATGTCCAGTTCAGAAGGAAGCAGGGCACGGGTTTAAATTCTCAACTAAGACCCATCAAGACCAGTTACACACACACATACACACAAACACGTAAACAAATATTAACCAATCAGAGTAACGCGTGGGGGGGCGACGGACGGACGGGCGGCTCACAGAGACGCTGAGCCCGCACCGTTGAGACCCTCGGTTGGAGTCCGGCGCGGGCGAGCGGATTCCTCTGCTCCACTGTGACTCGAGCAACGGGGGGGGGGGGGGGGGTGTCGCGACCCCAGCGTGGAGTGTATCTGAAGGTGGGGGGGGGCGGGGGTGGGGGTAGGGGCGGGGGTGGGGGCGGGGGCAGGGGGGGGGGGTGGGGGCGGGGGTGGGAGTGGGGGTGGGGGCAGGGGTGGGGGCGGGGGTGGGGGCGTGGGTGGATGTGGGGGTGGGGGCGGGGGGTGGGGGCGGGGGCAGGGGGTAGGGGTGGGGGCGAGGGTGGGGGCGAGGGTGGGGGCGAGGGTGGGGGTGAGGGTGGGGGCAGGTTCCCTAAGCTAAAGAGCCGCACTACCATTAGCGTGGTTGGCTACGTACGGTGGCGAAATAAGTTTGACGTAAGTGCATTACGTCCCGCGATGTTTCGTTTCGTTACGCGCGATCGCCGCCCCCCCCCTCGCCACCAACCCGGAGCGCGCATCGCTCTGACCGTCGGTGCTCCCTCGACAATGTTTTCAAAGCCTCGTGTTTTTATAGCCGAGCAAGCTGTCTCGTTGCTTATTTGTCTCCCGTCCGTGTAATTTCAATAAGAACCTTTGTAAAAGCTCTTGTGAAATGATTTCTCTGTTTGGCCTCGAGCGAACGTCGGGTCTAACCCTAAACCATAGCCCCTAAACCTAACTCCGATCTCAAGGCCTAACCCCTAGCCTTATCGCGAGCCTTAAACCCTATCTGTAATGTCTCACTGCTACTCTCTACTCTTAACCCCTCCGATTAGCATGGCTGGCTACGTACGGTGTGAAAGAAGTTCAACATACATAAATCCCGAATGCCTGACCCCTGACCCTCAATCCTATCCCTAATACCAAGCCTGTAACCCTATCCCTAACCCCTAATGCGTAACCAGTAACAAAACTATCCCTAAACCCTGTCCCTTAGACATAACCAGAAGCCCTTAAACCATGTCCCCATAACCCCGAGGATACGTGCGAAAATTAATGAGGTGCAGTGCCCCCCAAATATGTATATATCTATTTGGGGGGCACCGTGCCCCGGTGAACGGTCAGCTGGTCCGTCTCCCGTCAACTGGATTCCCCGTGGTTGGTTGGGCAAAACAGCCCGCTGATCTCGCTGCCGCTCACCCCGTTGATCTTGGCGAACGGTTGAGCCGGTCACTCGGCCAGTTTTAGTTTGGCGATGCAGTTGCTGGTTAAAAAGCCGCAGCAACGCTCGCCATGGCGACGCCGTGCGGCGACGGTGTCGCTCCACCGGAATCTTAGAGGCTTTTTATTTTCACTTCTCGTTAAATGAAATTGCAAACTCGTCGCCGTACAGCCTCCGGCACACAGCCTCCGGCACACAGCCTGCGGGCTTGCGTAGCTACAAGGTTAGTGCCGTCTGGAGTGTTGCGGCGTTCCTACTCCTGCTCTCATCGTCGTGACAATCATTTCCCAAGCGACACAAAAAAACCCAGACTGCTCCCGAGAAAACTTCTTACAGATTTCCTTACCCCCCCCCCGCCACCCCCCCCCACCACCACGGGTCGACGTCTACCTCCTCACACCTAGACACAGGCGGCAACCCCCCCCCGCCCCCCACCGGTCGGCCTGCGGCTCCGGTGAGTCGGGGCGCCTTGTCGGCCGTCGCAGCTCGACTTTCCGGTGGCCTCCCGTCCGCTGCGCCGTACAAGTCACCCGGCGCCGCCCCGGGTCGCCCGCCCGGCGTGTGCCGGGGTCTTCCCGCTACGGCCGCTGCCGCCCGCTTGTTTAGGCGATCTGATTGGTCGGCTGCTTGACCCGGAAGTAGAGCTTGCGGGTCAGCATGGACAGGAAGCAGGGCACCTGCTTCTTGCCCAGCGATTTGATGTCGTTGGAGCGGTCGACGCAGCGCGCGGCCACCATGCGGTTGACGAGCGTCAGCAGCTCCAGCAGCTCCAGCTCCGAGCCGTGGCGCTCCAGCGCCGTCACCAGGTCCTGGATGTACCACGAGCCGTTCACCGTCTCGCGGTGAGAGTAGTAGCCTGCCGCGGGGCGGGCGGGCGAGAGAGAGAGTTGCGGTGAGGCAGAGTGAGCGAGAGAGAGAGAGTCACGGAAAGACAGAGAGAGTGGTGGAGAGACAGACAGAGAGAGAGAGTTGCAGTAAGACAGACAGAGAGAGTCACGGAGGGAGAGACAGAGAGAGTGATGGAGAGAGAGACAGAGAAAGAGAGTCGCGGAAAGATAGACAGTGAGAGAGAGTCGCGGAGGGACAGAGCGGGTGGGCAACCGTGGGGTGGGGAGGAACAGGACATTGTTGTCGCTGTTGTGGTCACTGATATTATCGCCATCATTCTCATGGTCATCATGTGTTTCATCTTCATTATGGTCATCACTACCACCATCACTGTCGCCATCACTATCACCAGCACGAGCACAATCACCATCAACATCACCACGACCACCGTCACCTCCACCGTCACCGCCACCGCCACCGTCACCGCCACCATCACCGCCACAATCACCGCCACCATCACCATCACCACCGTCACCGCCGCCACCCTCACGCACCTTCGGCCACGGAGTAGCAGAGCAGGAAGTCCGCTGCGGAGGGCAGCGTGGGGGCGATGCCGGCGTCGGCCACCACCACGTTCTCCTCGGGCACCAGGTAGTGGTCCACCGCGTCCGTCTCCACCAGCACCGGCTCATCGTGCTTGTCCCCGCGGCACGCCTGCACACGGACGCACGCACGTGTACGCACGTCACACGCGTACGCACGCCACACGTGTACACACGCCACACGCGTACATACTTCACACACGTACGCACGCCACACGCGTGTCCGCACCTGGAAGATGAAGATCTTGGGCTTGCCGACGAGCGAGGGGCACACCGTGCCGCGGAACTGCTCCAGGATGTCGTTGGTTTTGACGAGGCCGTCCTTGGTGTAGAGCGTGCCGGGCTCGCCGTGCGTGAACACCGCGCACACGAAGCAGTCAAAGCTCGAATGGTCCGCCTTGGCAGCTGGCGCGGGCGGGCATGAGGATGGGTATGGGTACATGGGGGCATGAGCACACAAACACGTGGGCACACGTAAACATGGACACGTAACCATGGGCACGCAAACACGTGGGCACGCAAACACGTGGGCACGCAAACACGTGGGCACGCAAACACGTGGGCACAGGGGAACACGGATATGCAGGCACATGGACACGCAGACACGGGCACACGGACACAGACAAACGGACACGTGGCCACACGGACATGCAGACACACGGCCAGATGCACGGAGAGACAGACGGAGAGGCAGTTAGATGGACAGACAGAGGGGCAGGCAGTAGACAATCGGACTAATGAACAGACAGACAGAGGGGCAGATGGGCCCAAGGAGAGGCAGCCACGTGGAAAGACGGTCAGATGTATGGGTAGATGGATGATGCGCAAATGGAGATATCCACGGGCAGACAGTCAAACAGACTGTCGGACAGACACATGCATGGACGAAGAGAGAGAGACAGACGGATGTGCGGACAAAAATCTAAGTCAGACGGATGGATGGAGAAAAAACAGACGGACGGGGATAGGGATGGACAGACACGTGGAAGGACAGGCTTTAAGAGTGGGTCTTGAAGGTCGGGGATCTAGCATGAGGGAGTACAGCTTGACGCTATCAAGAGAATTGGCCACGATGACCTCTTGACCTATTAACATCACCTATGAGAGCGGGGGGTGGGGGGGGCGGTCAGAGAGCTCACCCTGAAGGATGACCTGGTGGAACTCCGTGGTGCAGATGTCTTTGTGGACGTGCACCGTGAACCCCAGATTACGCAGCCTGGACACAGCGAGGGTCAGGGGTCAAACACTCCACACCAGTCCAGCACGTCAACCGCTCACGGTCAGTCGCGTCACTCAACGCAGCATGTCAACTAATCGCAACATTGGGGGGGGGGTGGGGGGTGGGGGTGCACTCGCCTGCGCTCGAGGTTGTTGGAGTCGGCCTGCGTGCCACGGCGCTTGTTCAGACGCAGGGTCCAGTGGAATTCCTCGTGGTTGAAGATCAGCGCCAGCCCCCGAGATGCATGGTTCATGTTGTACTCCAGTTGAGGGTCCATAATGCTGCGTCACAGAGACAACACGGATTATTCATTTCGGTATCATTACGAGTCTGCTCGATTACCCAGCACAGCCGCACGGAGACTCGAGATTCTTTGTCAGGAGAGTCCTGCCAGGTTGGTGTGCGCGCGTATATGTGTGGTGTGTCTGTGTGTGTGGGGAGCGGTGGTGCAGCGGTTAGCGCGCTGCGCTACGAACCCAGTGGCCCGAGTTCGATTCCCGCTCACGGCCAACCACAACCTCGTGTACCGTGTTGGCCTTAAAAGGTGCTACGTTGTAGGCTATACTGGGAATCTTTGTCTTTATTGTGGTGTACACTGCCCGTAGAATGTGGCGGTCCAGGTGGTGCCGATCACCCACCAGACCGGTTGGACGAGTGGCAGGGATGAACATCCGGGAAAGCGGAAGCGGGGTGGTTGTGCAACGCGCACACGTGCGCCTTTGTGTGGGTGTGCATGTGTGTTTATCTTTGTTGGCGTGTATGTGAGCGTCTGTAGGCCGACGAGTGTGTGTGTGTACGTGACCGTATGTGGGGGAGTCGGGAGCGGTGGGTGTAGCGGTTATCGCGCTACGCTATGCACCCGGTGATTCGAGTTCGATTTCTCGCTCACGGCCAACACCAGTGACGATTATCTGAACAGGTCGACTCGGCCTCAAATGAGTACCTGGTGCGGTGTGTAAACATCGTCACTGGGGAGATAAAGGCAGCCGGGCGTGGTGCTGGCCACCCACCCCCTCGTGTACCGTGCCGGCCTTCATAGGTGCTCGCTAACAGCACTTACCCCAACGGTTCATTAAGGCTATACGGGGGATATTCTTAGGTTTTTCGGTAAAGTCACGTAGGTAAAACATCAAAATTTTTGTAAAACATCAAAATTTTGATGTTTTACCTACGTGACTTTACCGAAAAAACCTAAGAATACGAATCCTTGCAGTCACGAAAGCTTCAAATCTAGAAATATACGGGGGATCTTTGTGTAGTGACATATAATGGGTTACAACGGTGCCTAGCGCCAGTTACGGATACAGGGGAACTGTGAGTGTAGTGGCCCTCTCTGCCAGCACAGTACGTTTTGTCATGGACAGGGTCCCTAGGGGGCATGGTTCTGGTGGCTGGCAGAGAGGGGATGCATCTGAGGACGTAGCAGCCCGGTTGGCTGGCAAGGGCACGTGACAGGACAGGGTAAGGATGTGGGCCAAAGGGACACGTGGTGTTGGGCCCAGAACCTTCTGGTGAGTTCCAGAAGGGGGCGTGGCCGAGGGTGGAGCCAGGCCACGCTGGGGGGCATAAAAGGGAGGTCCCGGGGTCCCATTGGGGCTGTCTGCTGGAATGGAACCCTCGGTTTCCGGTCTTCCTGCTCGGCATTGTGGGTCAGGCAGTGTGCCGACTCACCTGACCCGTTTATATAGTTACCCCGTTGTGGTTACCGGTTATGTAGTTATCCCGTCGTGGTTACTGGTTATGTAGTTACCCCGTTGTGGTCGTAGAAAAAAACGTGTTGCTTCCTGAATTAGTGTGTCTCTCAAGTGAACCCATTACATTTGTATGTGGAGGAGTGGAGGAGTGGTGGCCCAGCGGTTAGCACGCTGCGCCGCGAACCCCGCCACCCCAGTTCTAGTCTGGCTCCCGGCCAACACGAGCGACGATTATCTGAACAGTTTCCTGGGGCATCCCTTAGGTCGACTCGGCCTTAAATGAGGGCGTCATGCCGGGCGTGTAAACATTAGCAAATTGTGGAGACAAAAGCAGCAGTCGGGCGTGGTTCTAGCCACACCACCCACTCGTGCGTTGTGGTGGCCTTGATAGGCGCTCGCTAACAGCACTTGGCAACAATCTATAAAGCCTGCATACCAGTGCGTGGTATGCAATGTGTGGGAGTACAGAATAGGCGAGGCTGGTTTGCCTGCTGCCTAATATTGAGCAATAATTTACTTTTAACAAGCACGAGTCCAAAGTACTGTATCGTAAAAGCAAGCGTATTGTTTAGTCTATCAGCATATTGGACCAAACGTGAAGCGAGCGGCTAACTCTTGGGCCCGTTTCAAGTTTCTGGGTCACATCAGCAGCAGCGGCGGCGGCGGTGGCCTGGCTTTCATTATCCAGGGACGCTGTTGGCACGGGTGGGCATGGATAGGTGGGGATAAAACACCATACAGCCAGAATTCACCACATCATCGTCATAATCATCACCACCACCATCATCACCAGATGGGTTTTTTTCATTCATTCATCCATCGCGCATAAAGACCGTTGCGCCAAAAACAAACAAAAAACCTCCTTTGACGGCATTTGTGTAAAAAAAACTGCTCTTGCTGCCATACACCAGCATCTCAAAAACCACAATTAAACATTTCTCATACAGCGAACCTCCACCGGTTGTCAACCTCCCACGCCCCGCCAATGGTCGACCATCAACCCAATGGGGACCGAGGCGGCACGAGGCGGCACGTGGCCGACGCGACCGCCCGACGACGCAGACGGCACCCGTCAAAGGATTCGGCGGACCCGCAAAACCCAAAACCATCATCGACTGCCATCGAACACGAATACCAAAACCATCGACCCACACGTCATCACTCCCGCCGCCGCCACCGCCGCCGCCGGCTTCTTCACGCCTTCAAAGGAGGAGGAATTAACCGTTGATCCGCTCTCGCTTATGAACAGACAAACCCGAGTTGGATAACAACATCTAAAATGACATCTTTCAATCTGCTGCGATGAATCTGTCCGAAAGAACGAAGTCTGGCTGGCATCTTGAGTGATTTGTTTCAACCACGGATCACGGCGGGGGGTGGGGCGGAGGTCACGGTCCACACTGGCGGACGTTGACCGTCAACTGGGATCCACAGGGCGACGGTGAACTCCGTTGGACGCAGCCGTTTCCCCTCTTGAACTGAGCTCCCGATCGCACGGGTGGGACAGGTCACAGATGCGACGGGTGGTGACATGAAAAGACGGAGCCGAAACCCATATAACAATCTGGCAATAAAACGGTTAAGATGTGTAAACACCAGACAGGATCCACGCGTACTGCATTAACGCCAAAAAGGGTGTTCGCTGTCTGGCGTCTGGTCTAACACTGTTTGAGACTCGGCTCTAAAGAAAGCTGTCTCTGGTGTGGAGCAATCAGTTTTAAAGACTGCATCAAATTATCAGAGCATGTTTTTTGTTTGCATGTTCACTGCAAGGACCGTGTGTGGTTAATGCAGGCATGATTTATTTAAAAAAATAGTATTGTTTGGTGTTTGAACATCTTAACACAACTGTTTTGTTGCCAGAAAGGGGTAAAACCTATTGCTATATTTTGATACTGGCACGAAAGGTCCCGAAATTGAAGTCGAACCCCATCGGTATGCCAAGAAGGCGCCTTCTTTGGGCATCGCAAGTGGAACGACCGGCAGCCGAAATCCAAATCGGCCGATATCCAAATCGACTTGGCAGCAATGCGTAAAGCGAGAAGTCGAAAGTGGCAGAAACACGGTGAGCAATAATGCCGACTCCACCACCACTACCCCCCCTCTCTCCCACACCACCACCACCCCTCTCTCCCACACCACCACCCCCCCTCTCTCCCACACCACCACCACCACCCCCCTCTCTCCCACACCACCACCACCCCTCTCTCCCACACCACCACCCCCCCTCTCTCCCACACCACCACCCCCCCTCTCTCCCACACCACCACCCCCCTCTCTCCCACACCACCACCCCCCCTCTCTCCCACACCACCACCCCCCTCTCTCCAACACCACCACCCCCTCTCTCCCACACCACCACCCCCCTCTCTCCCACACCACCACCACCACCCCCCTCTCTCCCACACCACCACCCCCCCTCTCTCCCACACCACCACCCCCCTCTCTCCCACACCACCACCCCCCTCTCTCCCACACCACCACCCCCCCTCTCTCCCACACCACCACCACCACCCCCCTCTCTCCCACACCACCACCCCCCCTCTCTCCCACACCACCACCCCCCTCTCTCCCACACCACCATCCCCCTCTCTCCCACACCACCACCCCCCTCTCTCCCACACCACCACCCCCCCTCTCTCCCACTACCACCACCACCATCCCCCTCTCTCCCACACCACCATCCCCCTCTCTCCCACACCACCACCCCCCCTCTCTCCCACACCACCACCACCACCCCCCTCTCTCCCACACCACCACCCCCCCTCTCTCCCACACCACCATCCCCCTCTCTCCCACACCACCACCCCCCTCTCTCCCACTCCACCATCCCCCTCTCTCCCACACCACCACCCCCCCTCTCTCCCACACCACCATCCCCCTCTCTCCCACACCACCATCCCCCTCTCTCCCACACCACCACCCCCCTTTCTCCCACACCACCACCCCCCTCTCTCCCACACCACCACCCCCCTCTCTCCCACACCACCACCCCCCCTCTCTCCCACACCACCACCCCCCTCTCTCCACACCACCATCCCCCTCTCTCCCACACCACCACCCCCCTCTCTCCCACCCCACCACCCCCCTCTCTCCCACACCACCATCCCCCTCTCTCCCACACCACCACCCCCCCTCTCTCCCACACCACCATCCCCCTCTCTCCCACACCACCACCCCCCCCTCTCTCCCACACCACCACCACCACCCCCCTCTCTCCCACACCACCACCCCCCCTCTCTCCCACACCACCATCCCCCTCTCTCCCACACCACCACCCCCCTCTCTCCCACTCCACCATCCCCCTCTCTCCCACACCACCACCCCCCCTCTCTCCCACACCACCACCACCACCCCCCTCTCTCCCACACCACCACCCCCCCTCTCTCCCACACCACCATCCCCCTCTCTCCCACACCACCACCCCCCTCTCTCCCACTCCACCATCCCCCTCTCTCCCACACCACCACCCCCCTCTCTCCCACTCCACCATCCCCCTCTCTCCCACCCACCATCCCCCATCTCTCCCACTCCACCATCCCCCTCTCTCCCACACCACCACCCCCCTCTCTCCCACACCACCATCC